TACTTTTTGTTCAGCTTCTTTAGCCACGTGTTAACTTTTCTCAAAGATACTGGAAATACATGAAAATCTGAATACTTTTCTAAGACATTGGCGATGGAAGGAAACCAGAGTGACATGACACCAAGCATGGTGGGTGGCGGTGGGAGAAGGCCAGGGTAGGAGGGGGCTAAGGCGGCGAGCCGTGCCTTCCCGGGAGGGGCGGCCTCTCACAAGTACCCCAGTCTCTCAGTGGTTCCCGGCCTGGGTTTGGAGCTCCGCGGAATCTGCGGCCACAGAGGGCAGGCGGTAGGAAAAGTAGGACCCACGGCGCTGATTGGCTGTCTGTGAACAAGGGGCGGAGCGGACAGAGGCTCAGGAGTAATCGAGAGCGGAAAGCCGTGGGCGTGCACTTCCGGCCTTTGTGGCACGGTGCGGTGGGTCTGCGGCTTGCTTCCTGACCTCTCCTGGGCTTCCCGGTGAGGGACGCGGGCCTCGAGGTGGAGGGAGGGCGGGGAGGGAGCGCGACCCGGGCGGCGGGCGCTGGATGGAAGAGCCCCGCTCCGAACCCCGGGTCGTTTGTTGGGGCAGCGTCTGTGTGCATCCTCGCGACGCAGAAGAGGCCAGCACTCAAGCCTTTGCTTTGCAGCAGAAAGGGCAGTTAGTTCCCCATCCCCCTGATTTCCCATATGCCATAGTTTAACTGGGATATAAATAATAGGCTCGTTGTGGTCAGGCTAGTTAATAAACCATAGATTTGTAGCCTGAATGTTTGGATCTCTAAAGTAAATGGTGGTTATGGTTAATTTTACTCATCTATCCTGTTAATTCAAGGCAATATTCTCCCACCCTAAAATCAGATCATGTATGATCAGCATCATAAAATTAAAAACATAATTCTTGATGTATTTCACTTTTTTAAAAAGCTTACTTCAGTATATTCTCAGCTTTTTGAGAGCTGAGATAGACCTTTCCGTTTCTTTTGTATCTCTGATATCTGACATGTTTTTTGAGCACATGGTAAACACTTGAATACTTATTGGTGAATTCCTCGGTAAACTGACGAGCAAAAACCTTTGTAACCTAATACCTGGCTCACGACGTAGCCCATACTAAGTGCCTCAGTGTTTGTTGAAATTGAGTGAATACCAAAATTGATCAAATGGCAAATATTCAATATTTTTACTTAAATCAACTCATGTTTAATATGCATTTTAAAAAAGGTTTTGTTGCTACCTTAAATGAAAGTCAGTATTTGCCATAGGTCACTAAAAATAATTAACATTATTAAATTCTAGCTAGATACTGTCACCCTTGGAAGTCTGAGGCTTATAATTTTATTAAAGAGGGAGTTCTGCAAGATTTACAGACACGTTAAAGACATATTTTTCTCCTTGAATCAGGATTGAAAGAAAAACAAAATTTCACAGTATGTAATTTGTGTTAATATTGCATTCTTTTGCTTCTAAAATAATTTCTTATAGCGTTAATGAGGGGAATTCTGAAAAACAGGAGACGCTGAATGACAGGAGTGATTTTTAGTTTGTCACTTGATTATTATTTATTTTAATTAGAGTATATTACTCAGATGAGTGATGTTTATTACAAGTTCTCAGAGAATTTTTTTCACTGCTAGAAGTTAACAGTGCTTTTATATCCTTCAGGAAAGAAAACATTATTCAAAGAAACTCTGAAGTACAGTACCCAGTTGTAGTGAGCTTTTTGATAAGCTGTTTCAGCCCGGAATGGCTGTGGAATCCACTGCAATTTCAACCCTGGCATCTCGGAATCCTCAGGAACAAGAACTGATACTAGTGAAAGTAGAAGAAAGCCTTTCCTGGGGTCAGAAATTAAAGCAGAATGAGAGTACCCAATCCTGCCAAGAACTGTTTCGCCAGCAATTCAGAAAGTTTTGCTACCAGGAAACACCTGGGCCCCGGGAGGCTCTGGGCCGGCTCCAGGAGCTTTGCTATCAGTGGCTCATGCCAGAGTTGCACACGAAGGAGCAGATCCTGGAGCTGCTGGTGCTGGAGCAGTTCCTAAGCATCCTGCCTGAGGAGCTGCAGATCTGGGTTCAGCAACATAGTCCAAAAAGCGGCGAAGAAGCTGTGACTCTGTTGGAGGATTTAGAGAGGGAATTTGATGATCCAGGGCAGCAGGTGGGAAAAGGATTTACAAACTGGAGCATGTGGTGTCATCATAACAGTAGAATGAAAGCTTGTCTCTACTGAACCATAACCCTGAAGTGACCACTAGAGCCATACCCATCTCTATCCTTAAATAAAAGTTCTCTCTTCCTTATCCCCTATCCCTGGAGATCTCTTTGTTGACCTCTGAGATTTTTACTAAGCATTTTCCTAGGGATTTTCTCACACAGCTAACCATATTTTACTGTTTTCAGGTCCCAGCTAGTCCACAAGGACCAGCAATACCATGGAAGGATTCGACATGTCTTAGAGCATCCCAAGAGTTAAACATCCAACTCCAGCCCTTAAAGACACAGTTGAAACCCTGGGAACCTTGCCTTTCCCCCCAAAGTGGTAAGAAATAAGAACTCATCTGAGAACTATTATCCAGTCTTCTGGTTTTGAGGATACAGAATTAATTGCATTTTACAAATGTGTCACATGTAAGCTTCACCTTTATTCTAGATGAGGATAAACTGAGAGATGCTCACTTTAGCAGCTTTGTATTTAACAGCCCTCACAAATTGCAGTCATGCTACCAGTGTCAGTTTCCCTGTCATTTATTCACTTACTCCATTATATATCTTATTAGGGTACTAATAAGATATACATGTCTGGTATGATGATAGGCACTGGGCTTCTGTCTTCAAGGAACTTTCCGAACTAGGTGGGGTGGTGCACAAACAAAAAGTATAATAAATTATAGACTAAAAGTAGGCACTAGATACTATGGCGACACATATGAAAGCACCTAACCCAACCTTAGAGGTTCAAGGAATACTATTTAAAGGAAGAGGCATCTAAGCTAAGACTTGAACTATGAATAGGAAAATGCCAGGTAAATAGGTGGGAGGAGGAGTGTCCCAAACTAAAGGGAAAAACTGTTTCTCAACACTTCTGACATCAGATGTGTGGGGTTTTCCTTCACATTAAGCAATTCTGACAGATGCCACAGGTTAATGTTTCAGTCCTACAAGATTGGCCCCCCACTTCCCATGCCATTTGCATGTAATCAGTCCCTAGGTTAGCCACATTTCTGATTTGCTGCAAATTGGCAGTTCCACGTCCCCCTCCTCAGGTTTCATATTTGCTAAAATGGCGCACAGAACTCAGGGAAACACTGTACTTACTACTATTCATTTATTGTAAAGGGTACAAAAAAATGAACAGCAGTATATAGGGTGAGGTCCAGAAGGGGCCTGAGTACAGGAGCTTCTGTTGCTGTGGAGTTTGGGGTGTGGTACTAGGATGCATTCACCATCCCAGAAGCTCTCTGAACTCCTTTGTGTGAAGTTTTATGGAGATTTCATTATGTGGGCATGATGATTAAATTATTGGCCGTTGGTGATTAGCTGATTCAGTCTCTAGCCCTTCTCCATGGAGATCAGAGCATGGAGCTGAAATTTCTAACCCACTAATCATTTGGTTGGTTCCTTTGGCAATAAGCCTCACTCTCCAAGAGTCAGCTCATTAGCAGAAATCCAGGTATGGATGGTAGAGGCTTATTATAAATAATAAAAGACACTCCTCTTCTGCCACTTAGGAAATTTCAGGAAATAGCGAGGGTTTTAAAAGCTCTATGCCAGGAACTAGGGATGACGGCCAAATATATATATCCTGTATTACAATATCACATAAGCAAAGGCCACAGAGTTGTAAAGGTGAGGGATTACATCCCATTCTGGGAATTGCAGATAATTCAATTTAACTTGACTAGAGAATTCATAGGGAAGAGGTGGTGAGGAAAATGGTGTATAGATTGTGAAAACTTGTATGTCATCCTAATTAGTTTGTACTTTGTAGTGGGGTACTGTTGAAGGGTTTTGGACAAGGGAGTAACATGATTAGATATGTTTTAGAATTTAGTTGCAGAGTTGAGAATACATTTGAGGAAGGCAAGAGTAGAACCCTGTTAGAGACTTATAATCCAGGTGGCCACGGTGAATAGATCAAGATGTATCAAGGTGAAAGGTGGGGAAGACAAAGCTGACTCCTCCTTACTAGCATTTAAATTGCACTGCAATAGCAGTCTTTCAAAGTGGAGCATTTAGAGAGGTATTCCGAATGATATTCAGATTTCAGTTTTGAACTGTTTGGTTATTGGTAGTGCTAGTCATATAAATGGAAAACAAGGAAAAATATATCTAATGATGTGTTAAGTTTGGGACATTTGGGTGCTTGTGAAATATGCACAAGTAATATGCCAAATTAGCATTGGCTTTGAGAGTTTAGAGCTTAAAAGAGAGAACTGGGATAGAATTGGGGATCTGATTGGCGTATAATATCTGTATGTTACTCATTGATTCCTATGAGTGTTTGTAGAGTGAGGATACACAAGAGTCCAGAACAATCTGAAGGGAACTCATGTTTGAGTGGCCATGAATCTAAGAAGGAACAGCCACAGAAATCAGGCTAATATAGGTGGGAAAGAATGGTTCTAGAAGGAGGATATCGTCCCTGGTATCTGCACTACAGAGAAGCCAACTAAGTAAGATCTAGAAATTATCCATTAGATTAAGCAGCTATGAAGTTGATGACCTTGATGAGAGTAGGATGGGGATAGGGGGAGAGGTGCAGCTAAGTCAGAAATCAGATTACAGAGTAGAAATGAGTACAGTCCTTTCATGAAGCTTTACTCTAATGGAAATGAGGTTGCATGAGGGAGATGTGTGAACAACAAGCTTGATTTTAAATGATGAGAGATAAGCTTATTTAAATTCTGATAAACAGGAAGGAATCAGTGGAGGAAAAGGTTGAAAATAATAGGAAAGGAATAGTAGGTGATTGGTCAATTGAAGTCTCAGAGGAGGCAGGAAAGGATAAACTGCAAAGTGTAGGTGAGGCTTTAGTATTAGAAAGGAGGTCCTTATGACCAGTTATATATGTGGACAGTGACATCTTTCATGGGTAGAAGCATCTGTTTTCTCTCCCATAGAAAGTGAGTATTGAGAGTGACTAGAGAAATAAAACAACTGTTTTTTGCTATTATTTCAGATTGTGAGAACAGTGAATCAGCGACAAAGAAGGATATTTTGGGAGAAAAATCAGGACTTCCCCAGGAACCTTCATCTGGAGGAGTTAGTGAACATGAAAGCAATTTAGAGTGGCAGCAAGGAAGTGCTACAGGGGAGAAATTAGGAAGATCCCCTTCCCAAGGAGACAGTTTTAGTCAAATAATCTTCACACACAAATCTCTAGGAAAGAGAGACCATCATGAGCCTCAAAGAAGCTTGATTCTAAGTACAAACTCTGTAACGTATCAGAAAGTTCCTACAGAAGAGAGACCTTATAGATGTGATGTATGTGGACACAGCTTCAAACAACATTCCTCTCTAACACAACATCAGAGAATCCATACCGGAGAAAAGCCCTATAAATGTAACCAGTGTGGGAAGGCCTTTAGTTTGAGGTCATATCTTATTATTCATCAGAGAATTCATAGTGGTGAGAAAGCATATGAATGTAGTGAATGTGGGAAAGCCTTCAATCAGAGCTCGGCCCTCATTAGACATCGGAAAATTCATACTGGTGAGAAAGCCTGTAAGTGTAATGAATGTGGCAAAGCATTCAGTCAAAGTTCATATCTCATTATCCATCAAAGAATTCACACTGGTGAGAAACCCTATGAGTGTAATGAGTGCGGGAAAACCTTTAGCCAAAGCTCAAAGCTTATTAGACACCAGCGAATTCATACAGGCGAGAGACCCTATGAATGTAATGAATGTGGAAAAGCTTTCAGGCAGAGCTCAGAGCTGATAACCCATCAGAGAATACATAGTGGGGAGAAGCCCTATGAATGTAACGAATGTGGAAAAGCCTTCAGTTTGAGCTCAAACCTCATCAGGCATCAGAGAATTCATAGTGGAGAGGAACCTTATCAGTGTAATGAATGTGGCAAAACGTTCAAAAGGAGCTCAGCCCTTGTTCAACATCAGAGAATCCATTCTGGGGATGAAGCTTATATATGTAATGAATGTGGGAAGGCTTTCAGGCATAGGTCAGTCCTTATGCGCCATCAGAGAGTCCATACTATAAAGTAACTTGTGAGTACAATGAATATTGTAAATAGTTCAGTCAGGTGTATATCTTTGTTAATCAAAAGGGTTTTGGAGTGATCAAGACTCCTTGAAGGTTGTAAACTACTAGGTCTTGAGTTTAACTTTATGCCGCACTTTCCAGTGCTCATGCAAATTGTTGCTTGAAAGCTTTTCCTGTGACTAGTTTGAATAGCAGATGGAGGAATCCTTGCTCCTATCTTTTTTCTTACCATTAGAAATACTCAGGAAATATGAAAAATGGGACTATACCAATGATACCTCATTTTCCATGAGAATGCCATGAAGAGGGTACAGCAACCTAGGCTCTGTCTGTCACTGCATCTGATTGTTGGTGTGCCAGGTTTGGGGGATGGTGTGGCTAGTATGAGGGACATTTTGAGAATTATAAGAATTTTACTGACCAAGTAAGAAAATGACAGGACAGTAAGACAGCTGAGGAGACAGTTTCATCAATGATTTATTGAGCCCAGGGAAGGCCAGAAATGAGACAGAAGAATACAATGTATTCAGCAGTTATTTTTTGAGTGCCTGCTTTGTGTCAGGAGCGAGGGATACAATGAAAGACAATCTTTACACTTTAATGGACAGGGCAAACAGGCAACGACACTGGTATGATCAGTGCTACGTAACATCAAGACTAACTGACCTTTGTATGCCAACTATAATTGAAAAAAAAATTGTACAATGTAAATATGAGCAACTAATTATTATATTTCAATAAAAAAGAGTACTTGACACAACCTTAGGTCAAGGAAGACTTATGAGAAAAATGATAAGAATGCATAGGAGGTAGGTAAGCCAGAGAATAGTATTTCCAGTAGGGAGAACAATAGACAAAGGCCAGGAAGAAAGTCCGGCGGTGGAGAACTTTCTGTTAATAGACAAAACCGGGAATCCTTGGACCACAGTGTGGCAAGAAGTTTTGTCTTGATCTGATGTTACCTCGGAAAGAATATGTAGTTTTCTTGCCCAACTTGTACTCTAGGCTAGACCTTCCATGGGGCGGGAGAAGAAGGAAGTCAGAGCTCAGCTAAGAGGTTAAGAGTCTGTTAGAGTTCCAAATTCTCTTTTCCGTACAAAGAACTCCTTTGGTTCTTAAAACTATATCAGAGCTGCTGTCAGCTTCCTCCTGATTCCCACAGCTGGGTCAGAAGCTGCTGTGGTTGCCATACCACTTGTTTCTGGGGCTTACCCCACAGTTCCTAGTGTACTCCCCTGGGTTCAGGTGCTGAAAAACATCCCTCAGTTGTTTAGTCTGTGACTTATTCAGGTACTTGTACATGTTCAGTTTTGTCTCCTATCAGTATTGCATTCACTGCCTTGTGAATTTTGTTAAAGACGGTGCTAAAGGGAAGTGACAACAGAAAGTAACGATCATGGTCCATCCAGAGACTCCCTCTTCTGAGGGACTCGGCAGGAAAAGTATCCCTGGACTGGTGCTGCTCAGTGCAACGTGGAAAGGTGTGTAGGTCAGTCAGCAACAGGAAGACATGTTATTCACAATCCTAGTAGATCAGTTATAACACTTTACCAAAAGTGTAAATCTGGAAATCTAGAAGCTACATAGGAAAAAGTTTTCATGTGATAAATAGCAAAGTATTGCTTCTGTTGGGGCATACATAGATGAGCATGTACTAAACAGGAATGATGAGAGGGCTAAATGTCCATGTTTGGAGAGAGAATGTGAAAAAAAGGGATAGGTTTATTTGGAAAAGATGATAACATGTAACCAAATGGTAAGAGCTAGTCAACTCATTTTCCTCTTTCAGAGAAAAGACCCAAACTGAAAAGAGTAGGACAAACATTAAGAATGGATAAAACATATTACAAAAGGGAGATATTCTATATAAAAGATTTCCTACGTATAGTGATAAGAATCCTAATAGGTACTTGTTAGGGCTTTATATATGTGTATTGGTTATTTCTCAGCCCATATCTTATAGATAAGGAAATGAAGCCTTAGGATCATGGCTTAATGTCATATAGCTAAAAAGTAATGAGGTTAAACTTTGACCCCAGGCAGTAGGAATCAGGAACCCTTCTGTGGAGCCACTTACTATACTGTCTCCCCATTGAAAAAGTCCCAACAGAAAAAAATGGTTCTTAAATAGACAAATTACAGAAGAATAAATGTTAATAGACAGTAAGTGTTCAGCCTTACTAAGATTAATGTATGTTAAAGCAAAAGATAGCATTTTTTCCCCTCATAAAACTAACAAAAATTCAGGGAAATTGGGACTCAAATGTTGCTAGTGAGATGTGAATAGATACTATCTCTGGCAATACCAGAAGCCTTAAGCATTGCCTTTTGACTTAAAATTCTACCTGGAAATGTGTGCTTCAGAAATCATGACGGTATACAAAGTCTTAAAAAGCTGTTCAAAGTGATGTTGATTAATGTTACATGACAAAGCATTCAAATCTTAAGTAAAAATATAATATGTACAATATAATTCATGTAAAATATATTTATGCAATAAAAATATTGGAAATGTATAGTCAAAGTGCTGTACTGGTTATCTTTGGATGGTAATATAAGCAATTTCGTGTGTGTGTGTGTGTGTATGTGTATGTATGTGTATGTGTGTGTGTGCGCGCGCACACACTTTTATGTGTCTCCAAAATTTTCTTAATAAATATCTGAAACTTCTAAAATTAGAGCAGAAAAATTTAAAAGGGATTAGAAGCCCAGGATAATTGCGAAAAATTAAGAGAAGCACATGCTTCCTGTAGCATTTCTGTCCCTTCCAAGGCCTAGGAGGTTAGCTAACTTGTTAACTCTGTTCCTTGACTTCCTCATTGGCAAGTGGCAGACATACCCATCTCAACTAGTGTACAGTCTCTTCTGCAAATATAAGCAATTTGCATGAAGGAGATTTATAGTTGAAAAAAGCAGTAGCCTTGAAATGGAGACTTTTGTTATTGATAGTTCCTTCCCATGAATTCTGCAGCTGCAAGCAAATCACCTCACAGTTCTGGACTCTAAGTTTAAAGGGGCTGAAGTAGGTGATCTCTTAAAACTTCAACATTGTGTTTATGAAACGGGGGAGCGCAGGGGGCATTAATACAGGTAGATGTCAAAAGTCTTTTTTCCTTCACTAGCCCTGCTGGAGGAAATGTAATTAGTTCCTTTCCCTTCTGCTCAGGGTCCTCTTGTTTCTCTTGGCATAGAGGCAATCTGGGGAGTGGGAAGGGGGTGTGTGACAGTGTTCACATTAAATGGATCTTGCACAGATTCATAGATTTTTAAAAAGATAATGTGCAATTTAGACAAGGTGTTTAATATCAGTTTCCTACCACTCCCCTTCTCTGTCATTTCCATAGGCTGCAGTTAACACTGTCCAGCAGAGAAGATTGGAAATCGACCTTGGTCTCTCTGAGCTCCCCTGTGAACTCCTTGCCCCATAAAGTGAATCCTCAGAGCAAGGGGGAGTGCCAGTTAGGAAAACTTCCCATGCAGAAGGAACTGACCTGGAGAGTGTTTCTGCAAAGTTGAGGAACAGTGGGCACTATGATAGGCAGACCCAACTTACACCCACCCACCCAGCCCCTGCTTTCTGATGGGCCAGAACCAGACATTGCTGCTACTCAGTAACTTTACCATTGGCAGCTGGCTTGTTAGCTGGCACGATGATCACAGATATAAAGGGTCATGGGGTTTTTTACACAAGCGTTTCTGTTGACCTGCTGAGAGAGGAGGGGAAGGCCATAGCAGTCTTCCAGGCTCTTGCTCCTAAAGGTGGAGAAGTGTCCTGATGCTGGTGGACACAGATAGGTGTAAAGGAGCTACCTGTTCTCATTACCATGGTCTTCCCACCACAGTGCAGCCCCAGATGTCCTCCCAATTTTGTGACTTCACCCGGTGAACTAGCTTTCAGTTTCTAGGCACTTTTTGGCCCTGGAAATAAAAGCTAAGAATACCAATTCCCTGACTTCTTCCCACGACTCCTTCCCCCATTCCCCTAGCACATCTCCATTCATGTTATGCCCCCTACTCCTGAATGAATAATTTCAAAGCAAAACTTAAAACTCAGATTTTATTACAACTTGCATTATATTCTAATATTAACCAGTTGAAGTATATACTCAAAGAATAAATGTTAGAATCAATTACAAAAAATTATTTCCCAAACAAGATTTTACCAAAAAATATTAGGGATGGAGGAAAGAAAACTAATAGAAAGTACTCCAAAATGTTAATGTTTCTACGGATAGTAGGATTTATATTTTCTCATTTTCTGTATTATCAACATTGACAATTCACAATCAGGGAAAAACTACTAAATGATATTAAAAACATGAAATCATCTGATTGTCACTTATAGGAAAAGGGAACTCTATCCATTGGAAAGGTCTCTTTAGACATCTGATTGGCCTCAATGATAATCCCACAATTTATGGACACAAAGACTCCCCCACACAATTTCACCTCCCCTCTTACCCACAACAGCTTTGATCACCAAGTTGTCTTCAGAAGTGACAGTATCTGGAAGGAAAATCAAGACATCTTAGAAGAGGAACCAAACTTTCAGGTAGCGACTGCCTTCAGTAATTAATTAAAACTGCTAAAATAAAAACTAGCAGATAAGTGTTTTAAGGAATCTGAGTGGGTAATTCAACAAATACTCATTGTACTCAAGCAGCTTAGCATCTGGAAGTGAGGGGACAGGGAATAAGGAATAGTGAAGCCTGGGAAGGCAGACCTCCCATGCCTGTGTTCTTGTTAACTCCCCATTTCCTGGGCCCCAGGGTCAAGGGACACAAACACTCCAGTCCTGACTGTCCCTCTACCCTCCAATATGTATTATTTCTTGGTGTAAACACATGACTTTTTTCATACAATTCACCAGTCTTCCATCACACAAATTCTCCTGAGTACTTCAAAGTCTCTTAGGTCACTCTGGGTCTAGGGCAGGCTACCCAACTCAGTGATCATAAATAGGAAGAGAAGAACCAACACATGCTCTGGCTTCTGATCCAGGGTCTACAAGAACCAACCCCTGCCAGAGAGAAGAGTTTTGATGAAGGAATGTCTCCATATCCTCTCCACGCCACTGTATGTCCTATAACTTTTGCCTATAATGTTCTTCTCCCTCTTGCCTTGATCTGGCTAACTTCTACCCATCTTTTATGTCTCAACTGAGATTTCATCACATCCAGGAAACCCTGCCCTGTATTTTGACAGAATCTTGGATATATCTTACCAAAGCACTTATCACACTTTTCTGTTTAATAAGTATATCCAATTAGCTCTTAACTCTGGGAGTGGCAATGGCCATGTCTTCCCCTGATGGCTGGCACATAGCAGGTGATCAGTAAATAAGTAGACCTCAATTGACCTTAGCAAGAAACTCAGGGCTGAGGAGAGAGCTGGTGAGGGGGCAGAATAAGCTACCATTCCCAGATGCCACTAAACTGATCCAGGGCAAAATTCAACATTTCACAATCACACAATTCAACATTTCAGATAACTGAGTAACTCAGCACATGCCTCCAACTGTCAAGTGCACCAATGCTCTTGCTGGGAAGAGATCCTTGACATTGGAGACTTCACCTCATAGTCTATCTTATAAGAAGCTCTTTCAGAATCTCTGCCCCAGTCCTGGAGTTACTGCGAAGGTGCCCATTCAACACTTGAACATACACCTTTGTGTACTGAACTGGACTGGAAGGACAGGAACTCTCAGGAAACTTCTATCTTCTGTAGGGTCTCATACCAAAGTGAATTCCTTGTATTTCATAATTGTACAACTCTTACTCACAGAGTTAAACTCTAGTGTGAGTTCTCTGATGCTGCATAAGGCCTGACCTATGCCTAAATGTTTTCCTACATTCACTACATTCATAAGGCTTCTCTCCTGTGTGGATTCTCTGGTGCTGGGTGAGGGCTGAGCTCTGATTGAAGGATTTTCCACATTCATTACACTGATAAGGTTTCTCTCCAGTGTGAATTCTTTGATGTTCAATAAGGATAGAGCTTCTACCAAAAGCCTTACCACATTCAATACATTCATAGCCTTTGTCACCAGTGTGAATTTTCTTATGCTGAATAAGGGCTGAGCTCCGGCTGAAAGCTTTCCCACATTCGCCACACTCATAAGGTTTCTCTCCAGTGTGAATTCTCCGATGCCTGATGAGCTCTGAGCTGCCCCTGAAAGCTTTGCCACATTCACAGCATTCATAGGGTTTTTCTCCACTATGAATTCTCTGATGTCTAACAAGGTCTGAGCTCAAATTAAAGGCTTTGCCACATTCTTTACATGCATAAGGTCTCTCTCCAGTATGAATTCTCTGGTGTCTAATCAGCTTTGAGCTCTGGCAAAAGGCTTTCCCACAGTCAAAACACTCATAGAACTTTCCCGCAGTGTGAATTCTCTGTTGTGCTGTAACATTTGAATTCAGACTGAGACTTCCTTCACTTTCATCACACTCAAGGACATTCTCTTCTGTGGAGATTTTCTTGTTAAACGTTGCCAAACTAAAATGTCTTTTCTGGGAAGGGGGCTGACTCATTTTGTTCTTTGTAGCATTTCCTTTTGGCTTCTTAATGTTTTCCAGACCTCCTAAAGCTTCTTCAACTATCTGTCCTGAAGGAGTTTCCCTAGGGATTCTTCCTGGCGATATCATGGCTGTTGATGCTACACATTCAATAATTTCTTGCTTTGCTGTCAATACTTTGTTAGCCACCAGCTTTCCACCTAAAAATGTGAATAGAAAATGCAAGTGTCATTTGCTCCCCATGTTCGAAGAAAGGAACCTATTATAAGCAAGAACAGAAAATAAACCAAGTGACATAGGTATTTACCTATTATGAGGAAAAATCTTTAAAACTTGCTTCCCGACCTAGAATTTAGAGAAGTGGCTTAGGATAGTGAAAGGGGGCACACTGAGAGTAAGGTAGACACAGAATGGGTGTCATCACTGATGAAGAGGGGTGGTGAAAGAGAAAGACATTAGTTAGAGGAGATGGTGATAAATAGGAGTAGCAGTGAGATCACGAGCTAAGAGACAACCCTGGGTTAGAGGAGAGGATGTATTTTTAGGTAATGAGGATAAGAAGTGATAGAAAGTAATTATGATAAAGAAAGATGTCTAAGAGTCTCCAATCAGTAAACAAAAAAGTAGAGCGAAAGGTACAATTAGAAAATGCTTTTGGGGTTAGGATTGGGCAGAAGTAGGTGGAGAGGAACTAAAACACATGGCAATTGCAGATTCTGGCAAGCTCTCAGTTGATCAAATGATTATGAGCAAATAGAGTAAGATACGCAGAGCATGAGAAAAGGAATACTGTGGGCTCCTAACTCATTCTGGGGTCAGATGGGAGTCTTATATGTTCACTTTTTTTTATCAAAGAAAAAATGGTCAAAGAAAGTTCATGGAAACAAGAGGCTGATGTGACTTCCTGGAGCCAAACCTTCAGCTCTCGTACAACAAGCCCCTCTTGTTTCTAGATTTCTAGTAACTCACAACAGAAGACTACTAGATGATGGCTGAGGTAACCTGATTATTTTGAGGTGGGAAAATCTAAAAAACTGTGAAGTAACTTCCATCTTCCCCAAAGTCCTCTAAACTCACATGCATTTTACAGATCAGGAACTAAGGCTCAGGAGAGGTGACATCACCTATGGAAGGCCACAGAATTTATAACTGGTAGAGTCTGAATTCAAAGAAAGATGCATCAAGGCTTTCAGTTTTCCTGTATGTCATTTGCCTTCCCTATTTGTAGGATGCAGGACTATAGTTGCGCTGAAACAAAAAATAATTTTTAAATAATTTTTATTTGGTTTTGGGAAAGGCTTATGTTTTTATATGAAAAAGAATTCTGATACTCTTTGAGTTCACAACAATAAAGTCTCACAGTGATTACCTGACCAAAGCAGATATCTATCCAGCTTTCCTTTTCCTCATTCCTTACCAGAAATTACAGATTTGGACAGAGTACTAAAATTCAAACTGTCTTTGGATAGAAATTTTAATTACTTAAGGCTATGCTTGTTCAAAAAGAAAAATTTTATGAAAAAACATATTAGCATATAATAAAGGCAGGAGAATAATAAGCACCAAATTGGTTAAAGTCAACCTAATGAGAATCTAATGAGAAATTTTCTGAAAGTAGTAAATACATAAAATTATAAAAAGTATAAATTACAAATGGTATAGAGTGGCAATAAAATTGTATAGGGACAAAGTTAGAGCTGTGAAAATTAGAACAGCAATGTAACTTATAGGATTTAAAATACCTCTTCAAATTCTGTGACTACAAGAAGTCACTTTATAAGACAAGAGACCAGAGAAAAAGCTTGACCTTAGATGTATATATCAGGAAAACAAGATTTTTATTTTTTCAACTATATATTTATATTATACAAAAATATTAGAGTAAACAGTTAACTGGAGTAATTCCTAGGAATAACAAATAAAAATTGAAAGTAGAATAAGAAATGATCACTTGAAATTTTTAAAATACTGAAATAATCCAAATAACCTAATTTTGTCTTCCAAAAATGAATGTTAATTCATAATCAAGCCTAAAGTCAAGAAGGCACAGATTATAGAAAGCACTTTGGAGGAGAAATAAGCTATAGGTTTCTCTGTAGAAGAGCTCTTCTCTATAACATCTCTCCCCAGCATTTTCCTACCTATTTGCTGATTTGTATGGTCTAAAATCCTTTTAACTAGGGACATGGTCTTTAACTGCACATTGACAAATATGCTTTAGCCTTAATACTACATAGATGATGCTCCACTGCCCATCCCACCTTCTTTACCAATATGGTGCCTTCTTCCCCCAGCTGCTGTCAGTGTTGGTTCCCAACTAGCCACAATTGCCCCCTTCTCTGGAGAGTGGCCCTGGCTGATGAGAGTCACCTGGCACAGAAAGTTACTTTCGCCTTCACTGTCTCCTTCACCCCCGGCCTCAAGAAGGGACAACTCAGCAATGCATTTATGCTCCAGGGGGTTCCCCAACCCCATGGATTAGGCTAAGGCTAGATTTACTCCAAACCACATCATTGCTTGATCTTTTCCCTTCCTAACCCTACTTTTCTCCATGACAGGTTTCTCCTGAAGAGCATGCCCTCAGTAAGTCACCTGCACTCAAATCTCCATCTCAGGCTCTTCTAGCAAGACATACTGTTAGGCTAGTGAAGAACCTACAGTAAAATTACAACCAAGGCTGTAAGGTTGTAAAAATGACATGGTGACTTTTATAAGCCTATCAAGGTGGATCCCTACAGTGACTTAAACCTCATGATCTAGGTGAAAGATGCATAATGATCAACGTTAATTCTTCAGAGGTAGGGCTAAAACCTCAAGACTAAAAACAGACCAACATAATGAGATTTATCAGGAACAGTCAAGGCCTTTCAAGACCACACACTTGGAGATTAGGCATAAACGGAGAATGAGGAAATTTTGCTAAGGCCAAGGAAGGCTGAAAGATGGAATCATTGTTGTCATAAGTGGACAGTCAACAACATAATGGCACTGTGAAAGAACAAACAAATAAAAGATACAGTGTGCAACAAATGAGAGTTGGGGAGTGAATCTACCTTGTATTTTAAATTAATCAGATCCTCATTAGAGTATTTTTATTCCTGTACTTCAGGTCAATGTGGAGAAACTGAAGCATATCCAGAGAAATATGCAAAGACGACGGAAAGATGGAACATAGATGGAATCAGAGGTAGTAAAATGCTTAGTTAAAACAAGGTCAAAGATCACTGTACTCATTACCTTCAGGTACAGGTTATGTGTTATAGAAGCTCTGCTACACAAATAAAAGGAAACAGAATTAAATTAAAATGGGGAATATTTCACAAGGACATAGAGAAGAACTTTAATACTGTATTAGTTTGCTAGGGCTGCCATAACAAAATACTACAGACCAGGTGGCTTAAACAACAGAAATTTATTTTCTCACAATTCCGGAGTCTAGAAGTCCAAGATCAAGGTGTTAGCAGGTTGGGTTTCTTCTGAGGCCCGTCTCTCCTTGGCTTGCAGATGGCCATCTTCTTGCTGTGTCCTTATATTGGCTGTCATTTGGTCTATGCTGTTTGTGTCCCAATCTCCTCTTCTTATAAGGACACCAGTCATATTGGATTAAGGCTCACCCTAACAATCCCATTTTAATTTACCCCTTTAAAGGCCCTATCTCCAAATACAGTCAGATTCTGAGGTACTGGGTTTTAGGGCTTCAACATATGAATTTGGGGAGACACAGTTCAGCCCATAACAATTATCAATATGAAAAAGCCCAAGAAAGACTTAAGAAATTACAGCAGTCTCTGTTCCTCAAGACCTCTTTTAAGGAAACAGAAGTAACCCACCCTAAGTAATTTAGACATATACCTGCTTTAAGGCAGAGGACTTAAAGAAATGATTTTTTAAAATTCATTTTACTGTAGCTCCTGCTTGATGCAGAAGATAGCTTACTTGGCTAATGATGCAATGGGGAAGGCTGGGAGGGAGTTTCCCAGGAGGCCTCAGTGTATAGATATACAGATTCCTTTGGTGAATTGCCAAGGTCTAGGGTCTGGACCTTGACCTTGTCACCTCATCAACCTAATTTTTATCATCATAATGAACACATTTACCTCTCAGGGTGGACTCTCATTAGCCAAGTTCAGGAAACTGAGCAATAAAATCAGATTGAGAATTAATAAGTAATGTGACCATCACACAGACCAGACTGAACTAATGTATTTTCTTACTATAGCTAAGCCATGGGAAGTTAATAAGATTGCTTAGTGAAGATGAAACCAGAAGGGTAGCTGGATGTCACAAGACTTTAATGAGAACAAGTTAATAAGCCTGATGTATCTGCCACCTATAGGAATGATTTGCCAATAACAGAATCAAAGTCCTTTTGGTCCTAATCCTTGACATCTGGGCTAGCTATCTGACTCTCAACTTCAACTTTATTGCTTCTCAGCTTCAAATCCACTCTTTAATACCCTGCCTGTGATACTAAAACATTTCTGCTGACCAGCTAGCACAACATAAGCTTTAACAATAGAGAGAGGCGGAAGGGTGTTTTATTCCTGGTTCTGGTGTACTCTGTTTGTTCCTGAAGCACATGGGGCACCCAGAGGTGCTCACCTCCAAATAATTCAGAGGCTCCATCCCCACTGGTGGCTTCCCAGCAAGTTCTATGTCACAGCATCTCTGCCCAGGGGGTGCCTGACAACCCAGAGGGTAGCTTCTCAGTGAGTTCCGCACAACCACACACACACCCTCTCCCTGCACCCTGTGAATGGCTTCCCTTGGTACCCCGAAGAGCAGCTTCCCAGCCAATTCTACCAGCACAGCACTTCAGTGAACATCCCCATCCAGTGGACCGCAGCCATGCTCTCTGCAACAAGATCTGGATCTCAGCTCTAGCAAGGGAAGGGGAGGATGTGGCACCCTCTTACAGATTTGCTCCTTCCTTCGAGACATCCTGTATGTGTTATTCCTGTATTCTTTAGAGTGCTTTTTTACTACTTCGTAATTAATGCCCTAATATTAAGCTTTCCTTGTTCAAGTTACTATGATCCATTATTCATCTCCATCTTAGGGACTGCTTTGCCAGTGGGACCATAATAGTAAAAACCATAATATTGGTCTTTGGATATTATGGATATAATTAGAGAATTTTATTAGAGACCTTAATTCTTAACCCAAAGTTAGAAATTATATGGAATTTCAGATTCTAAGTAAAGCCAATAGAAGAATATTTTCAGTCAAGAAGGTCTTTCCACAATGCTTAATAACAGGCACAAGGGACTGTCATTAAGAAAATGAATCATGCTGCAGACGAGAGCCCTCGCCTCCATGCAAATCCCCAAACGGACTGTGGCTCCTCACCTCTCTCATGGAAAGCCTGGAGCTCCTGAGTCCCACTCTTGCGTTGATTCTCCAAGGGCTGGAGCTGGATACTCAGAGACTTCAGTGCTCCCATGGATGTCATTTCCGTCCAGATCATTCCTTGGCTATGAGTTGTGTCCTAGGAGTAACCAAGTACCAGCACTATGATTCAAAGGATATACAAGAGGAAAACCCCTAGAATAATAGGGCAGGGCAGCTGGAGTCAAGAACTCATTCAGATGATTAGAGTAAACAGGACTAAAGGTCCCAGTGACTTGATCCTAGAGGACAAATAATAACCCAAAATACAAAAATTGCATCATTCTTTGATACCCAAGTCAAGGCCACTCACAATGGTTTCCCCATTAACTTACAACAGGTAAAACAAGTAAACAAAAACACCTACTTCTTACCTGTTGCACTGGTTTATCAAGCTCTTTCTCCAGCTCCTCCAGCATAGTCACAGCTTCCTCTCCATTCTCTGGCCGGTGCTTTTGCAGCCAGGCCTGTAGCTCCTCAGGCAGGATGCTCAGGAACTGCTCCAGCACCAGCAGCTCCAGGATCTGCTCTTTGGTGTACATCTCTGGCTTCAACCACTGATGGCAAAGCTCCCGGAGCCGGCTCAGAGCCTCCCGGGGCCCAGTGGAGTCAGAGTAACCAAACTGCCTGAACTGCTGGCGGTAGGTCTCCTGGCTACAGGCATTTCCCTGAAGGTCAAAGCCCTGCCCCCAAACATAATTCTCTTCTTCAGCCTTCACAACCTTCACAAGTCCTTCTTGTTCTTTTGCAGCATGGTAGGCCAAGGCTGTGGCCTTTCCTGACATCCTGGACGGAGATAGTCTGAAAAGGCTGCCCGTTTTAAGGCTGGGAGAGGATGGAGGTCTGTGTCTGAGAGATTCCTTCTGAATTCCAGGTCTTTAGGGAGCTCCTGAGGTAGATACTAATATTACACAGGGGAAAAATGTGCTTAGAATATAGATACAGGTTTTTGAAGATTGGTTGCCAGGGAGTGTAACATTAAAGGAAACTGACTGAAAGGAAGCTTCTATATAAACAATACATTTATAGATGATTCAGTGTTTTTTTCAGGATGTGAAATAGAAAATTTAAGTATCATCGAAATCAATTCAACCTTTAGTAATAATGTTAGGGACAACATTAGGGATAATAAGTAATGCTGATAGATCATGGAAAGCAGGAAAAACACTGTAGTATATTATTACTTCTAAAAAATATTATTTTATTGAGCACCTACTAGATGCCAAGCACTAGCTGGATAGTTAATAAAAATTTTACATAATTTCCCTAACAATTCTATAAGAACAATCTAATTATGCCCATTTTCTAAATGAGGCAACTGAGAACCAAAGCTGACCAAAGACACACAGGCAATAAGCAGCAGAACTAGGCTCTGCAACCAGAGTATTCAGCTCTATTATGCCATGGAATCTCCCCCAAAGAAGGGAATTCGCACTTAATAAACACCTAGGATGGTCCAGGCACTTTACAAATACTATTTTATTGAGGATTGACAATAACAATATAAGGGAGGGAGGGAAGGAGGGAAGGAGGGAAGGAGGGAAGGAGGGAAGGAGGGAAGGAGGGAAGGTAAATTATCTTATTATTTAAGATATAATGATGATGATGATGATGATGATGATGATGATGATGATGAGAGAGAGAGAGGAAGGAAGGAAGGAAGGAAGGAAGGGAGGGAGGAAGGAAGGAAGGAAGGAAGGAAGGAAGGAAGGAAGAAGGAAGGAAGGGAAGGAGGAAAGGAAGGAAGGAAGGAAGGACAAACGAAAACAGAAACAAAAAGCCTGGGCCAGAGCTGGGGACAGAATTAAAGAATAGTGTGAGGAGGCGCCTATAGAAGAAGAGCCAGGCCACCAAGGTTCTGAGACGTTGTAGCACAGAGTTTGTATTTGATACTCGAGGCCACAAGGATGGCTGAAAGTTCTGTTCACCCACCCAGAAAGTGGTGTTAAGTAAAGATGGGAAGGCTTCTGTTGCAACCATTTGGGTAATGAGGACCTGAGCTATATGAGCCAAATGATATAAAGATGGGAGATTTAACAGGACTTAGGGACATACTGGATAAGGATTTGGAAGAGAGAACAGGACTCAGGTTTCTGGCTGACTCTGGTGGCTGAAAGGATGATGGCATCATTTACTGAACTACTTATGAAGAAAGTTGGGTCTGAGATGCACATAAAATAGCATTTCCTAAACTGTGCTTTGCCAGATTTAAGAGATGTGCCATACACTTACCTAACTACAAAGAAACTTGGGGCTATTTTCTTCTTAATGTTTTAGTATAAGAGAAATACTAAATACATTTCTTTTGTTCTTATGAGACAACTGACATTTAAGAAATGCCCTGACAAGATATCATCAGATCTGTGTATTGATGGGTATGTAGAATTTACCAAAGCCTACCTCACACTGATATATGTCTTTTACTTGGAAATCACTGGTCTATGTCATGTATCGTACCTTTTAATTTCAATCGGTTTGTGGTATTATTCAATTTTTATTATAAATATTATGCCGCACCAACTTGGCCACCATGGTGTGTGTGGCTGAAAGGAAAGATTTTCATTATGAAGTACTATCTGTTCATTCTTCATCTCCTTCACTGATCTACAAAGTTCCATAGGTTAGTCCTAAATCTGCCAGGCTTATCAGTGGGGGCATAAGTTGACAGCTTTGGAACGGAAGTCTGGATTTCTGTTGGTTGTTTATGGAGTTGTCTGGAGAACCCAGATGCCCAACAAGTTAAGGGATTGGAGGCACTGAGCTTGGATACAGCCTTTCCTAGTTCCAGCTAACTCTTAGTCCAAGCAACCCAGAAGGTACTTCCAGGGCAACTCTGGCTGCTGAAACACAGCCGTTATTATCATGTATCTGCATTGTTTGCTTACTTAATTATAACAGAAAACACTAATTGAGTTTTCCTTATAGAATCGATCAATCACTGTCTACTTGTTTTAAGTGTCTTCATTTCATCTCCACATTACTCTATCTTCTCGCTTCTACTGTTTTATTGAAGAGAAACAGAGGAGTTATGTAATTTGCTCCAGGTCATATGGCTTGTAAGTGATGTAGTCTGGACTGTTTTGAAATCAAAAGGTCTGACTCCAGAGTCCACACTCTTAGAGGTGTGTACTCTGCTGAACTGCCTTTTCGCATCTGTCTTCCCAACCAACCCGAGGATCCTTTCATAAAGGACTTGTTTTTCACACATTTCCTACTTCATGCAGGCACTATGCTAAGCGCTGAGCAGAGAGTTATGAATAAGACTGTTCTAGAGAGAGACAAACGTCAAAGAGAAAGCACACATAATGACCTAATTTAATGGTGTAAGAACTACAAAAGGGAAAGTAGTTAAGTGCTCTGAGAGTGATTGGTAAATAATCTAACCTAGACCGGGTAAGTCAAGACAGAGGGCTGAGACCTGACTCAACAGCGAGCTTTGGCTGCGTGAGAAGATTCCATCTGTGCATCTCTGATTCCTCCACCAGCAACCTGGCACACAGAAGGCGCAGGTAAGTGCTTGAGGAGCCAAAGGGCGCAAGGGCGGGTGGATGAGAGAGCAAACGGACAAAAGCAAGAAAGGATGGACCGACGGATGGATAGGCGTGGGGGACGGGTATTACCGTCGAGGAGAGATGGCCACCTGGTGCAGCCGCAGGCTCTGCCTGTAACACAGGCAGGCCAAGAAGGCCGCGGCAAGGCGGCGGGGAGGGTGAGGCAGGACAGACGTGATTTGGGAAGCACCCGCGGCCGCACGGTCGGACCGCCTCACTCACCCTTTGCTCTGCGGGCTGATGGGACCGACCCCGAGAAGGGAGCAGGACCGGCTTGGGCCGCGCGCGCCGGAAGTGGGGGGGCGTGCCCCTCTAGGAAGCCAGGAGGACTGAAGCTCTGTAGCAGGCGAGCCGCGGGCCCCGGGGCTAGGAAAGAGGGGTGCAGGGTCGGGGAGAACCGACGCGTCTCTGAGTGGGACCTGGTGGGTACAGCCCCTAGTCAAAATGGTTGACAAGCGACTACAAGAGAGGGAAAAAATTTTTTTAAAAAAATATAAGTGGAGAGAGAGAGCGCGCGCTGTTGAGCTTGCATCAAGGAGATAAAAACAGAACCTGCGGTCTAAAAATTTTGGTGAGAGGAGGACCAGAGCACATTCGCACACCGTAAACACGTTGTCCGCAATGACAGCCCTAGAAACTGCGGGGAGGAGCGTAGGGGTAGGGATCCTGCCCAGGAACGGCGAGGGTGCAAGGCGGGGAATCGACCCAGCAACGGAGCGCAAGAGCGTGGGCGGCGGGGCGGGGCGGAACAGGAGGTCAGAATAATTTGGTCATTGAATGCGCTACTCAAGCTGAGCCCTGTCAAAAGATTAAAATGTCGATTTAAAGAAGGGAAATGTATCCCATGCAGAGAGCGGCAGGGACTAGAATACAGCATTGGCAAATCCGGGGCATATTCGGGAATTAGCCCAGCATCTTGGTTGGCTCCAACCTAGTATACGGGATAGGTTGGGGTCAGATTTGGAGAGTTTCAAATGCTAGGCTCAAGAGTTAGAAATATATTTAGTAATCAGGGCAGATCATTTATATATGACATGCCCAGAAGTGCAAACTTCAGAGTATTATCTGACAGTGCTGGACAGAGCAAATTAAAAAATAGAGAATTGAGAAATATTGATGTTCGGGATGTGACGAGGAAGAGCAGATAAAGATGAAGAGCTGCTCAGAGAGGGAGAGCCCAAATGGATCAAACATAAAAGCCAAGAAAGCATTTCAGGAGAAGGAACAGGTGACTAGTAGATGCGGCAGAGAGCTGGAGAAAGATGAGAACTGAGGTGAAGCTGCAATTAGGGGGAGGGGCAGAAGGAAGGCCAGAGAGAGATGTTATGTGTGGAATGTCCTTGCCAGGGATTAAGACAGTGTATATAGTAAGGCACTGAGAATACATAATAATTCCTCTTGAGAAAATGTGATAATGCAGGAAGGAAAAAGGGAAGGCATTGGTTGGACTAGACAATAGGATTGAAAGGTGTTTGTTTTTTTTTAATGGAGACCTAATTATATTTTTGTAGAAAAGGATAAAGTGAGTGGAGAGAAATTGAAGATAGAAAAGAATAGTTCATGGAAAGAGAATGAGATGGGATAGGCAGGTGGAATTGTCTCAGAAAATAAGGTGAAACATTGTAATAAAAATTTGTATTTTGGCCTGTGTTGTAATGCTTTGAATGCAGAACAGCCAAATATTGGTTAGTAATGCTGATTTTACATGTAAATAAGTGCACATATAGTTTGTCGAATATTCACACACTTATGTTCCTAGTGTTTCGATGAAGAAACAATATTATCAGTCTTCAGAAGTCCCCCTTGTGCTCTTTTCAATTAACTACCCTCCTCTAGCCCTGAAAGGTAGTCATTACTCTGAACTTTGATCATGATAAGTTGATCTTGCCTGTTTTTGTTCTTTATATAAATGGAATTCAGTATTTACTCTTTTAAGTCTGACTTCATTCAACATTGCGAATTCCATTCATATTGTTTTGTGTTGTACACTGTACATTCTCATTTCTAATAACATTATTTTGTGAGATCATGCCAGTATTTATTCATTCTATTATTGGCAAACATTATTGAGAGTGAGGTATTTAAATCTATAAATATGTTAACTTATTTTTGGATGTTAAACCAACCTATATTACTAGAATAAATTCCATTTGGTCATGGTGTATAGTCCTTTTTATGTATTAATGAATTTAATTTGCTAATATTTTATTGAAGATTTTGTGTTCGTATTGTTATAGATATGTTTTATTTTCCTGTGATGTCTTTGGCTTTGATATCAGAGTAATTACTGGCCGCCACTATATTCTGGAAGAGATTTTGAAGTTTTACCAAACTTAAACTGTTTGATAAAACTCATTAGTGAAGTCATATGGGCTTGTGCCTTTCTTTGTTAGAAAAAATTTATTACTCGATTTCTTTACTTTTTATACGTTTATTCAGTTTCTATTTCTTTTTCAGGCAGTTTTAGTAATTTGTATATTCCTAGTTATCTGTCCCTTTCACTTATACTGTGTAATGTGTTGGCATAAAGTTGTTCAGAGTATTTTCTTATATTCTTAAATTTCTGTAGTGTTGGTAGTGATATCCCTATTCTCTGCTTTTTTTTTCTTGGTTAGTCTATAAATGTTTGCCAATTTTTGTTGGCATTTTCAAAGAGCCAATTTTTTTTGTTTCATATTTCTCTAATGTTTTTCTACTTTGTATTTCATTAATTATTACTCTAATCATTATTACTTACTTCTGCTTTGTTGTTAAGTTTGCTCTCCCTTTTCAAGTTTCTTAAGGTGGAAGCTCGGGTTACTGATATTTTCTTTTGTAATATAGGCGTTTTAAAGCTATAAATTTTCTTCTAAGCACTGCTTTTGCTGCATTCCATAAAGTTTTATTTTGCATTTCATTTTCATTCAGTTTAAAAATTTTCTAATTTCCCTTGTGATTTCTTCTTTGAACTGTAAGTTATTTAGATGTGTGTTGTTTAATTTCCAAATGTTTATAAAGTTCCCAAATTACTCCATGGCTCAGTCTGCCCTCTGGGCCAATGGAAGCCCCATCAGCTCCAACTTCTGGGTCCACAGAGACCCCATCAACTCTAGTCTCTGAGCCACATGAGCTCCACTCTTCCTTGAGCCACTGTCAGCTGAGGTGGCCCTGGTCTCCCAGCCCTCAGTAGTGGCCCTACACTCTGGACATCACATTTCTTGCATGTAGAACCCCAGAAATCTGACAGCCATCCTTCATTTCTTCCTGTCTCTATTCAATTCAGTCTGAGCTGGCAATGTTTCTGGTGATATAACATTCTCAAGAACCATGTTGGTCTTCCATAGATATCAAAGGGATCCACACAATTAGTTGCAATGGTTCTCCACAGATCCTTCCTGGAAAACCCCATTTCTATTCCTGGTTTCTACTGAGATAGTTGATTAGATCTATGAATCACACATCTAATCTCTTCACCAAAGGATTATCCAGATACCCTCATGGCCTTGTCTCCATGCTATTTGGACAGTCTGCAAATTTCCAAATCATCGTGCTGATTCCTTTTTGCTTAAGAATTCCTTCTTTAATTTATCTCTTTTCTTTCATACTTTACTATAATCAGCAAGGGAAAGCCAGGCCACACCTCCACACTTTGCTTGGAAATCTCAGCTAAATATCCAAGTTCATCACTTAAAATTTGTATTTTCCAACCAAAAGCAGAACATGATTCAGGCAGTTTCTGCTACTCTATAACAAGGATCACCTTTGCTTGTTTCCAATAGTTTTCCTTGTTCTGTCTGAGTCTTCACCAGAAATACCTTTAAATGCTCATTATTTCTAGCAACATTCTGTTCATAACAATATATGTATTCTCTAAGATGACAGAACATTTCTCTACTATCCTTTTCCCTTCTTTCTGAGCCCTTGCCAGAATCACCTTTAATGTCCATGTTTCTACCAATAATATCTTCAAGGCATCCTAGGCTTTTTCTATCATGAGTCTCAAAACTTCTAGTATGGCCATGCTACCCTGAACACACTCAATCTCATCTGATCTCAGAAGTTAAGCAGGTTCAGGCCTGGTTAGTACTTGGATGGGAGTCCACCTAGGAAGACCAGGTGCTGTAGGTGTTAAAAAAAAAAAAAAAGCCTTCTAGCCTCTAGCCATCACCCAATTCCAAATCTATATCTGCATTTTTAGATATTTGTTATAGCAGCACCCCACTTCTGTTACCATAGCGTGGCTTAATATAACAGAAACTTATTCTCTCACAGATCTGGGAGTTAGAGGTCCAAAACTAAGGTACTGGCAGGGCCATGCTCCCTTTAAAGGCTCTAAGGAAGGATCTGTACCATGCCTGCCTCCTGATCTCTGGTGGTTGCTGGCAATCTTTGGCATTCTTTGCCTTATAGATGCACCACTTCAGCCTCCACCTCCACATTCACATATCACTTCTATGAGTCTCCTCTGTGTCTGAATTTACCTCTTCTTGTAAGGAGCTCAGCCATTAGATTAAGGCTTACCTGGACCTCACCTTAACTTGATTACATCTGCAAAGATCCTATTTCCAAATAAAGTCACATTCACAGGTACTAGATGTTAGAATTTGAACGTATCTTTTGGGGGGGACACAATTTAACCCACAACAATGTGGTAAGTACAAACCAAGAGTTGTTTAAACTGCTATGACTTGATTATCAGTTACTTAGAATTGAAGACTTTTCAGACTGATGTCAAAGACCTTATGCAGTGAAGATAAAGGAAATTATCTAATCTGAATTCAATCTAAAAGCCTTGTGGAAGTCTGGTGTTTCTTGATACAAGCCTACCTAGATCTGCCAAAGTGAACATTGGGAACTCTGATTATATTGGCCATTATTTCCCTTTCTGAGTCTGATTTTTCAACACTGGTTCTGTTTTCAAGAAGTCAAAGTCAGTCAGACATGCATATAAAGATATCATATTGTCTATAATTTAGATGTCTTTCAAAACAAGCAGCAGCAATCGACTTGTTAATATTTATTTGATCAAAAGGAAAGGTATGTGGCTTCACAATTTGTATTTACATCCCTTTTTTACTTGGAACTAAAAATTTATATTTACATTGAAATTCATTCTTTGTGAAGATTGCTTATATAGTTTAAGTATAAAATGAAATTTATTTCTAATACTACATGATAAGCAAAAGTTCACATGTGAGACTTTATGTTCAACTTTCTGAGGATGAGGTCCATAGTTTTCATCATATTCTCAAAGGAGTACATTATCTTAAAAAGATTAAGAACCACTGCTCTAGAATCTATGCCTAAATCAGACATATGTTAGTTTGACCTAGTTTCCCTCAAGAGGAAATGGAACCAGAAATAGAAATAAGGTAGAATATTGGTTGATGGCTTCTCAGTTTCATTCTTGAGAATCTCATATCATTTCCCATGCCTGTATCTCCGTATCTGCTGATCTCTCTGGAAACCTCTGAATTCCTTTACCTTACTGAGAAGAACCTCTTCAGTGTGAGCTTGTGTGGACTACAGTTGGGTCTAGGTTTGTTTTGGCCAATTCAGCAAACTGTTAAACTCCAAACTGGATTCTCAGACTTGCATACAGAGTGTAACATCTCTGGTAAGACTCCTCAAAGCAACAAATCTAGTGTAATCTCAAAGAATGGTTTGGTTTCCTTGGTTAAACACCCAGAAGATGTATATTCATATCGTCGCTTCTGGGTAAAAGTACCCTTAGCCTTTGTACATGAGAATTAACTTTTGATTAACTTTCTCATTCTGTTTTACTGGAAACCTGTTAAAAGTAATATGCCAACGATGGCATTTTCATATACTGCTGGAATGCAGAATGATTCAGCCACTCTGAAAACAGCGTAGCAGTTTCTGAAAATGTTAAACATATACCTACTATGTAAGAAAAAAAGCACATGTCCATATAAAGACTGTACACGAATGTTCCCATGTTCATAGCAGCTTTATTTGTAGTAGTAAAAAACTGAATATAACCCAAATGCCCATTGACTGGTGAACAGACAAATTGTGGTATATACATCCAATAGAATATTATTCAGCAACAAAAAGAAATGGACTATTGATACACATAGCAATATAATCTCAAAATAAGTGAAAGAAGTCTGACTAAAAAAGACTGGATCCTGTGTGATTCCATTTAAATAAATCTCTGGAAAATGAAAACTAATTTATAGTAACAGAAAGCAGAACAGTGGTTAGGGTCTATGAGAGAAGAAAGAGGGATTGGAAAGAGGAAACTTTTGGAGTTACTTAATGTGTTCACTATTTTGATTGTGGTGATGGTTTCACAATTGTATGCATATGACAAAACTTATCAAATTGTATGCTTTAAATATTTGTTGATTATTGTGTGTCTTTTATACCTCAGTAAAGCTGTTTTTCAAAAAGTATCTGCAGTTGCTACTTGTGAAGTCTGGACCTAAAAAAGTTCCTTACAGGAATGTCTGGGTCTCATTCATACATCCTGAACATTTCATATATTGGAAGAGGGTCTTGGGTTGGGACAGAAAGCTCTCTTCCTCTCTTTCAACCATCACTTCAGCCAGCCACCATTTTCTCACACCTATACCTTTTCTTCCAAGCATCTTAACCCAGGTCATATGTCTCACCTGTCTAAATCCTTCTTTTAAATCCCCCATTATTTCACAAGATATTTCCGAGAACACAGTAATATCCTTTCCTATCCTGATACCTTGCTACCCCCGCCCCCCGCCCCAGCCACCTGCCGCCTCTCGCCCCCATTTCAGATCTTTCTTCTCGCCCTGATCCTTTAGTCATAATGAGGAGTGTACTGGCAAGCAAACTATTTAGAAAGAGACCCCGTGCCCTTTCTTGATGGCAGAGTAGATGAAAACCACCTTCCCAGCAATTCAGGGATTAACTACGGAGCATTTCTTATTTTTACGGCAGGGGTTCTCAAAGCGTGGTCCCAGGACCAACAACATCAGGATCACATGAAAACCTGGTCTCCCAAACCTACTGAGTCGGTGGGGCCCAACAATCAGTATTTTCACAAGGCCTCCAGGGGATTCGGAGGCACGCTACTCTTCTGGGAGAAAAGCCAGAGAGGACGGGAAGAAAATTAGAACGGAAGCACACCAGCGAATCTTAGAGATGGAGGGTTGGGAGGTGGAAAAAAAAGAGATAACTAGGGAAGAACCCACTAAGTAGTGAGAAAACCTATCCCGCCCCAGAAAGCTTTCCCGAAAGCTGTTTTCCAACATTCAGAACAAGTACCACAGATAGGGCAGCAAGGGATCTGTAACCGGCCAACCAAGTCCCTCGCTACCGCTCGGCTGCGGACAGCTCCGCGGACGTTGGGAGGTTAAATCTCAGCCTGATCTGGCTCACGCCCACCCAGGCCGCCGCCGCCGCCGCGGCCGCCCGCGCGTGCGCACGTGCGAGGCCACGCGCCATAGAGCAGAGCAATTCTCCCAGATTCCTAGAGCGGACCCGGCGATGGCGGGTTTGCGGTGAGTGAGGCTTGACAGCGCCCTGGAGAGCGCGTGGAGGTATGGATGAGGTAGGCTCTGGGGAGGCGGAGGAACTCGGGTGATCTCGCCTCTCGAGCGTCCTCTCAGCGCTGCTGGGCAACCGTGTGTGGTTTCTTGAAGCCGTGGAGAGTCGAGGACGCTGGGGTCGCTCCTGGGCGCGGCTCCGGAGAATGGCGCGCTAGTCGGTTCTTGGCCTAGTGTGCTGTTAGTTCCCTGTCAGTCCTTGCTGGGTCTTGGGTTCAACTGAATAGACACCGGAAACTTTGGGAGCGGGTGGAATTAGGAACTTGGATGTATCCCCGCGAATCAGTCGACCCTGCCGGGAAAGAGCTACCTGAATGTGTGAGTGTTGGAAGAACGGAAAGAGGGAAAGACAGATCGTGATGATGGATCGGTAGTATCATTTTGGTATAGAAAGGGAAACGAATAACATAGTGTTAACCACAGGGACAAAATTCTAAGATTCCCTCCCCTGCAGTATCTTTCTAGTTATATCTTTATTTTGGTAGCATTAATCCTCAACGATGTTTGAAGATCTCTAGATTTGGAATGGAAAATATATGTCCAAGAGGGGTAATGCCTGACTCCTGGATGTTGAGAGAGGAAGGTTAATAAATTCTAAGAGAAAAGCACTTCGAAATTAAATGATATCTTGTTTTCTCCTATACTTCTTTTATATCTAGAGGATGTTTCTGGTGGTCTAGCGTCAAAGTTTATATCTCCAGTCTCTGTGATGATTCCCTTCTAAGCCCAGTGGAGCCCAGTTGCTTATTGAGGAAATGGTAATTCGCCAGTTGCTCCCTGAGGTGTCACGTGTCCATTTGCAGCCCATGGAGATCCAGCTCAATTACGAATCTCAAGAACACCACCTTCTGACAGGTGAGCAGCAGTGTATTATATCTTTCTTGGTTGTTTTGGGAAGGGGGGTGATGTTACCATAGCTATGTTAGTGTCTTCAAGTGCTATTCTTCATCGCCTACCCTCACTATTAGGCAGTGCCATCTCTGCAGGGCTGCAAACACAGTCACATGACTTTACTGTGAATTCTGGCAATCAAATTCTCATGGAATTCCTTCCTCTCCTTGAAGTTCCCCAAATCATCCATTTTTCCCATTATAATCACCTTATCCTCAGTCTATCAGTGTTTGATATTTCCCCTTTTAAAATCTTTTCAAGTCATCTTTCTCACTAACTAAGGGAGTAGTTAAAAGTTTTGGGGTCTGACAACCTGGATTCAGTTACTAGCTTTGTCATTTACTAGCTTCAGTAAGTTACATTTTTTTATGATTCTGTTTCCTCACTTTATAAGTGTATAATAATTCATATTTTGGAGGTTATTTTGAGGATTATGTCTATTCCTCCACAATAAAGGACCCCCAAACTTACTGACCTAAAACATCAGACATTTTTAAACCACGTTATTTTCTTATGGTTCTGTAGGTCATCAGCTTGGGCTGCGTACAGCTGGGCATTTTTTTTCTCTCGGTCTTGTCTGGGATCACTCATGCTGTCATCTAGTGCAGTGGTCCGCAACCTTTCTGGCAGCAGGGACTGGTGCCCCTATGAGAATCGAATGCCTGATGATCTCAGATGCAGCTGAGGTGGTGATGCTAGTGCTGGGGAGTAGCTGCAAATACAGATGAATTTTGCTTGCTCGCCAGCCACTGTGCAGCCCGGTTCCTAGTAGGCCACAGACTGGCGACCCCTGATCTAGTGGCTCAACTACGGCAGGGTCTAAGCTGGTATCAATCATATATGTCTGACTTTTGGTGCCGGCTATGGCTTGGATCACGTATCTTCAGCAGTCTAGCCCAGACTTTTTCACAGGGAAGCTAGTTTCCAAAATTAGAGAGGGAGCAAGCCCTGGGATGGGCTTGCACTCTTCTAACCTATTTTTAGATGAGCAAGCACTCTTCTAACCTATTTTTGTGTTACATTTGTTAATATGTTATTGACCAAAGCAAGTTACATGATCAATTCCAGAGTCATTGTTAGTGAGAACTACACAAGGATGTAAGTATTGGGAGATAGGGTTCATTGGGCTCCATTACTACTATAACAAACACCACAAGCACTAAATGAGACCCTGCATGTAAAACTCTGAGAACAGACCTGGCTGGTAGTAAATTCTTTATAAATGGTAGCCACTGTTATTTTTCAGTAAGCTAGTTTTGATCTCAACTTTGTTCAGATGTTCTGCAAGATCTCATTTCCACATCACATTTTGTTGCTTTTTGATTCTGGTCCTCCCATTGCCGCTGTTTTGCCTATGAAATTCAACTTCTATTACCCTTTCTTTTACTCTAGATCTTCTGCCTCTTTTTAGTTTTGAAGCAAATTTTGTTTTATTTTGTTTAGTTTCTCTCACCTGTATTTAGAATGTGTCTTTCCTTAAGAATCTGTTCTAAGGCATCTAGCTCTCATCTTTCCTGAGCATCTCTGCAGGAATTGGGCCTCCTCCTTTGCAGTTTTATATAAATCAATATACATGTTGTACATCTGTTTGTCTCTCTTAGAGAGTATATAACATTTTTTATTATACTAAAGTACATATATAAAATGTAGAAAGTCACAAAACAGAAGGTCTAAATAATGTACAACTCCACCATCTAAAGATAATTGCTGCTAACATTAATGTATCCTTCAAATTACTTAAACAACTATTAAACAAACACTTATTGTTAATAAATATTTATTAGTTAAGATAATAGCTTATTACTATTAACCATATAATATTTTTTTAGTTACTGAGGGCTTATCAGTGCCAGGCACTGCTCTAAGGGGATATAGTAGTGAACTGAACAGATAAGGCTTTGCCCTCAAGGAGCTTACATTCTCTGGGGGAAATAGGAAATAAATAAATACACAGTATAGTATCAGATAGTGATAATGGTTATGGAGAAAATAAACCAGGATGTATCTGTCAGTCAGGATTCTAGCAGGAAACAGTTGGCTCATTCAAATGGTGTAATTCAAAAGTTTCATGAAGAGGATGGGAAAGATTACAGAAGTCAACAAGGAATGGAGAACAGCCTTGAAGAAAACGACGATGAGAAGCAGTTACTACCTTTAGGCCTTAAGTTACAAGGGAAGAGATTGATTACCAGATCCAGGAGAATGTAACTGCAGGATAGAGCTGCCTGACCGGAACTTTGGCCTTTGCTAAAAGAAACACAATTACTTCCAACTCCTGGCCCAGCAAGAAGGGAACCAGGGTGCAGAATGACCACCCTATCCCAGTTTGCCTGAGATTTAGCACTGAAAGTTCCATATCCCAAGAACTCCCTCTGTTTTGGGCAAACTAGGACAATTGATTGCTCTGTGATTCTCCCATGATTTTTGGCCAAATCTAATTTTACCCCAAGTGATGCAGTCCATAAACTGATATCAGCCTCCTGGGGCACAAACAGGGTGAACAGAAGATCTAAAGGGGAGAAAGGAGGACCTCCATTACAATCCACCTCTTTTAACCTATGATATGCACTTTTGTCCTTTGGATTGCTGTGTTCCCAACACTGCAGGAAAATAAGTCTCTTAAGCTACCATTTCGTTACATGTTGACATATAATTAAAGCACACTCCCACCTGAAACCTAAAACTTAACTACCATCAGTGCTTTTCATATAAGGTAGTGAGGAGAGAGGGGAAAAGACATAATTAACAAAATATAACTGTTACAGTTTTTGCTGGTCACAAGCCTAAGTTGGTAATGATAACTATCTTCTCCCATCATCCATTCCATATTGCCCTTATCCCCTGCCAGAATCTCAGTGACACAGAGTTCTTTACCTAGCTAAGTAATATAAACCTTTCCTGGGTGATTTGAGCCCTTAGTGATTATCTCTCTTTCAGGTTATACTTCAGTGTACCATTGCCTGGGCCTATTAGACACGAAACAACCAAGAAGCACACCTGAGTGAGTCTTCTGAGTTCCAGACATATTCTTCTTGCCTCTGTTACATATCAGTAATCAATTCCCCATTGGTAATTAGTATCAGTCATCCTGTCAAGTAGAGTGACCTTTCTCTACCTGTTAGTTCAGCGCATAAGGAGCCCAAAATGGCCAAGAGGCAGACTAAGCTTCAATTTTAACAAAATCATGAATTTTTTCCACAGTAGAAGTGTTTCTCCTTTGAGAACCAGAACCCTAAACCCAGCAAGCCCAAGATTATGGGAATAAGAAGCAAAAATCATATAAGTGGATTATTAGGTATATAGTAAGAGGAGACATTCTTACTATTTCTCCATCCTTATTTCCTAAACCCACGTAGAAGACAATGCTCTTTGTTATCCTCTGTACGACAGCACCCGTACAACAGCACTCCAAACTTACCAGGTGGTGTTGCCTAGCCGGTACCAAAACTGAACCTTCGGCAAATCATTCCACCATTATCACAGTCCACTTCTGAGTGATGGGACATGTGGTAAGACCCATGAATTACATGGGCATGGGCTTACTGCTCTACTTCCTTCCCTGTAAAATGGATCTTTCAGAGGAAATATTGAGCAGAATACCATGGTAATAAATATAGCATTCTCTTAAGTCAATGCAAATTTGTATCTGGACTATGTATTTAGTCCTTTGAAAACAAATTACTTCCCTCTCCATGATAGAAGGGGTCTAGTCTAATGAATCTGCTCCCTAGTGGCTGGCTAGTTCTTCTCCAGAGAATAGTACCTTATTAGAAGCTCAGTATTGGCTTTTGTGGTTAGATGCTTGAACACATAGTAGTGATTGTAGGCATACAATCCTTGATAAGTGGAGGGCCATATTGTTGAGCCCATGCATAGCCTCTATCCTTGCTGCTGTGATCACTTTGTATATGAGTCCATTGGGCAGGCATTGGTAAAATGGCTGATTGACACTGATAATATGGATCATCATCTCCATCTGATTGAGAGGCTTCTCCGCAGTAGATACCCGTTGGCAAGGATTCACATGAGGCACAAATTTATTCATTCTTGGCCCATTCTAGATGGTTCATCCTTGTATTTTTCCCTCAGAATCCTTGTTTTAATCTTCAAGTCTTGTTCTTTCTCAGTACCTAACTAATCAGATAACCCATTAGTCACTACCCATGAATCAATATAGAGATGTTGCCTTCCATGAAAAGTCCACATCCAAGTGTATATCTGAAATTCTGCCCACTGAGAAAGTTTGCCTTCACTGGTGTTTTAGGCCACACCTTGGTATAAGTAAAAGCTGTTCACTTTCAGCTGCACCCACACACTGGGCAGGCCCATCTATAAACCGGTTCTGTACTTTCTATTCCTCTGTTAATTGGTATTAGAGAATTCCCATGAGGTCCTGAATATAGGCTGAGAAATAGAGATGGTGGAAAGGAACAGGTCCTATGAGAATCCAAGTCACTAGTACATGGAATTCACTTGTCTTCTAGACTTGCTTTCACAATGGAATACTGGTTTGTACGTCCAATTTTATGATTTGGTGGCTCAAAAAACAACTAGTACACAATGGTCAGTTTGTAATAGTTTCTTGGTACTCTGTGATCAAGCATTAAGTCTCTATTAGTGCCCAAGAGCAACCTAGGATATGCTTTTTACACAGAAAATTGTTGTTGGCTCAAAAGAGTATGGCCTTACTTCACTGTGATTCTCTTACAGAGGGTTACAAGAGGCTGCATACAGCATCCCTGACTGCTGCAGATACTTCCAGTACCATTGATTATCATGGTTAATAAGATTATGTGACAGTACAGCTTGCATTGCAACCTGGACCTACTGCAGAACCTTTTTTTACTCTGAGTCTTACTCAAAAATAGCAATCTTACTCAAATTGGTCATTTCAGCACATTCAGCTGGGCCTCAAAAATGAAGGCACCTACCACCTAGCATTGTGCCTCTCTAAGTTGGTAAAAAATGGTTGGACATACAAATGAAGTGAGAAAACAAGTCATGTGACTATTTGAGAGAAAAATATTCCAGGTAGAAAGAATAGCAAATGCGAGAGGTCCCTAAATGTAACAAGAATAGAGTGAACCTGGGGTAGACAGGTAATAGGGGCAGTAGAATGAAAAGAAGACAGAGAGAAAGGGACCAGATCATATGGAACCATCTAAGCCATAGTAAGGGTTTGGAATTTATTCCCAGTGTAATGGGAAATCAGTGGAGCTCTTTACATAGGATAATAACATAGAAGATCTGTCCAACTGTTGTATGGGGAGAATAGGAGAAAAGTAAATTAGCAAGAAGGAAACAAAGGTTTTAAGAAGAGAGTAATCAACTATGTCAAATAAATCAAGAATAAGATTGAGAATTGACCATTGGATTTGTCAACGTGAACTTACTAGGGACTTGAATAAGTGCAGTTTTGATGAAAGTGTAGAGATAAAAGCTTGATTACAATGGGTTAAAAAAAGAGAATAGACTTAAAGTTGGCTAGAATATAGAGCAATGTGAACTCTTATACACTCTTGCTGGAAGTGTGAATTGGTTTAACTACTTTGGAAATATCTAGTTGAAGACCCAACAATTCTGATCCTAAGTTTTTATAACCTAGAGAAATACTCGGATATGTGCACTGAGATAGATGTACCAGCATATTCATATTGGCATGGTTTGTAATACCAAAATGTTATTGTCCATTGAAGGAGAATGGGTAAATTTGGTGTGTGTCACACTACAGTAGTGAACATGAATGGACTACAGCTATACACATGAATAAGGATGAATCTTCCAAACGTAATGTTGAGCAAAAAAAGCATGTTGCAGAATATATGGTATAATTCCATGAATGTATAAAGTTTGAAAACATGCTGTATTTTTCTACTTGGGCTGCCATAACAAAATATCACCCACTAAGTGGCTTAAACTGCACAAATTATTTTCTCACAGTTTTGTGTATTAATTTTAGTCATCTGCTTTCTTCTAGAACTTTTACAATTTTAGCTTTTATGTTCAGGTTTATGTTACATTTCTAGTTAATTTTTGTGTATAGCATAAGGAAAGAATTGGGATTAATTTTTGTCATTATGATATCCAGTTCTGACATTTTTTGTAGAAAAGACTGCCTTTTCATCATTGAATTATCTTGGTAACTTTGTTGAAGACATATCTATATATGTTTGGATCTATTTATGGATTACCTGTTCTATTCCATTAATTAACGTCTATCGTTATGCCAATATCACACTGCCTTGATTACTGTAGCTTTATAGTAGAGCTTGAAATCAAATGTAACTTCTCCAATTTTGTTTTTTTTAAAATTGTTTAGACCCTTCTGCGCCTTTCTATATAAAGTTTAATCAGTTCGTCAATTTTCCACAAGAAAGCCTTTCGAGATTTTGGTTGGGATTGCATTGAATCTATAGATCAATTTGGGGGGAATTCCACCATCTTAACAATATTAAATCTGCCTATCCATAAATGATGGCATATATTTCAATTAGTTCATCTTTAATTGCTCTCAGCAATGTTCTTTAGTTTTCGCTGTGCAAACATTGCACATATTTTATTGAATTCGTTCCTAAATATTTCATTTTTTTGGTACAATTGATAAAAATGTTTAAAATTTTCATTCTAATTGTTCATTGCTAGTATACAGAAATAAAAATTGTTTTTCGTATATTGCTCTAATAAACTTATTAAAAGTTCTAATAACTTTGAGACACTGGGATTTTCTATGATCTTGTAGTCTATGAGTAAAGACAGTTTGACTTTTTTGCTTTCTTATTTGTACGTGTCAGTTAGTTTTCATGTCTTACAGTATTGGCTTGAAATATTGAAGTTGTGCAATGTTGAATAGAAGTAGTAAGAGAGGGCATCCTTGCTTTGCTCCCTTATTCCTAGAAGAAAAACATTCATTATTTAACCATTAAGTATGATGTTAGCTATTGGTTTTTCTTTGCTTTTTATTGAAGTAGTTAATTTACATATAACAAAGTCAATGTTTGGATTTAAATGTACCATGTTCTTATTTGTTTTTATTTATCTCATTCCTTTCCTCCTTTTTAGCCTAATTTTACATTATCCGGGTTTTTGTTTTTCCTGTTATTTTTTTTCTATTAGCTTATCGTTTGTACATTATTTTATTATTATTTAACATTACCTTAGAGCAGCCTTTCTCAACTGTGATTCTTGTGAGAGAATTAAGCCCAAATACTCTAAGGCTTCAACTATAAGTAATGTGTTAATGTCTCTCCTATATATCTATTTTGGTACTATGTACCATCTTTGGTAGAATTAAGAAAATAGGCACTCAAATTATTTTATATTGTATTTTCTTATGGAACCCTGGTTGAAAAAGGCTGCCTTAGAAATTACAACATACACATTAGATTTCTTACAGTTTATCTTAATTTACTACTTCTAGGATAATCCAAAGAAATTGTAATATTTTAGTTCTGTTTACCTCCCTCCCATGGTACTATTTTTGCCATGTATTTTAATTTTATATATTTTGTGAACTCTATAAGGTATGCATATTTCTTAAATCAGTCAGTATACATTTAGATTTACCTTGATACTTTTCTTTTTCCAGTTCTCTCTGCCTCTGGCAAAAGGAAGACGCCTCCACTTGGGGACTTGGGATCTTGGACTTTTGTCCTTAAAACTGATCTGTTTCATGTTCTCAGCTCTCTATACCATTTGCAGTCTGAGAGTGGTGTGCCTTTTGTAGTAAACACCACATAACAGCGAGCTGACAATCAAGAAATTCTCAGTAGAGCTGTCACATTCCCTACCATCAAAGGCATTAGGTATTGTTGAGAATAGGAATGGCCTCCTCAAAAATCAGCTCAGAGTTCTCACCCCATCTCTCTTTTTTTCTGGTTTACACACTTTAGTAAGGAAGTTCGATCAATGAATTTGGGTGTTTCCAAAAAGGAATCATGTATTCTCGGCCATTTCTTTGGTAATAATCAGGACAAAAGAGGTAGAGGATTATATAGACCTATTTTTTAAATTTTAGGATTCTGTATCAGCCCTAATTTAGTCAAACTTTCCTAACCACTGTGATTAGGTTTCAGTATTCCCAGATCTCCTGTGACAAAAATACAGAACATATCTGGTAAGCCATTCAATAAGTGGTTATTATAATCCATTACTTGTTGATTCTTCCTAGTTTCCCTCAGAGAATAATTTTCAGTGTTTTGGAGCACTCCCATATTATGACTACATTTTATAAGTAAATATTGATCTGTTTCACCTGCAGCTTTCTTACAGTATGGAGAACACATTCCATTTGGACTTTTTTATTGTTTTAGATGGTGAGACTAAGACCAAAATTGGAGATCTGGCTTCAGAGGAGGAATTTACAGCAAAACCATTGACTGAAGAGTCTGGCAACCCCAAAGATAATGTTCTCCAGGATTCTGAATGCAGAGAATTCCATGAATTGGGAGATAAATTAAATGAAAAGGATCAGAACCTCTCTAAAAGAAGACAACATAACTGTGATGAATGCGGACAAAGCTTTGCTTGGAGTACAGGCCTTATTAGACATCAGAGAACCCACTGGGAAAAACCCTATGAATGTGATAAGTGTGGAAAGGCATTTAGTGTGAGCTCAGCTCTGGTTCTGCATCAGAGAATTCATACTGGGGAGAAACCCTATCCTTGTAATTGGTGTATTAAAAGTTTCAGTCGGAGCTCAGACCTTATTAAACATCAAAGAGTCCATACCGGTGAAAAACCTTATAAATGTGATGAATGTGGAAAAGCCTTCAGTCAGAGCTCAGACCTTATTATACATCAGAGGATCCACACAGGAGAAAAACCTTACCAGTGCAATCACTGTAGTAAAAGTTTTAGCCAGCGCTCAGACCTGGTTAAACATCAAAGAATCCATACTGGAGAGAAGCCTTATACATGTAACCAGTGTAACAAACATTTTAGTCAGAGTTCTGATGTTATAAAACATCAAAGAATCCACACTGGTGAGAAACCATATAAATGCGATGTGTGTGGAAAAGCCTTCAGTCAGAGCTCAGATCTTATTCTACATCAGAGAATCCACACTGGGGAGAAACCATATCCATGTAATCAATGTAGCAAAAGTTTCAGTCAGAACTCAGACCTTATTAAACATCGAAGGATCCACACTGGAGAGAAACCCTATAAATGTGATGAATGTGGGAAAGCTTTTAATCAGAGCTCAGTCCTTATTCTGCACCAGAGAATTCACACTGGAGAGAAACCCTATCCATGTGATCAGTGTAGCAAAACTTTCAGTAGACTTTCAGATCTTATTAATCATCAGCGAATTCACACTGGAGAGAAGCCTTTCCCATGTAACCAGTGTAGTAAAATGTTTAGTCGAAGATCAGATCTTGTTAAACATCATAGGATTCATACAGGCGAGAAACCCTATGAATGTGATGAATGTGGGAAAACATTTAGTCAGAGCTCCAACCTTATTCTACATCAGAGAATCCACACTGGAGAGAAACCCTACCCATGTAGTGACTGTGCTAAAAATTTTAGTCGTCGTTCAGACCTTGTTAAACATCAAAGAATACACACTGGAGAGAAACCGTATGCTTGTAATCAGTGCAATAAAAGTTTTAGCCAAAGCTCAGACCTCACTAAACATCAGAGAGTACACTCTGGGGAAAAGCCCTATCACTGTGATAGTTGCGAGAAAGCCTTCAGTCAGAGTTCTGACCTTATTCTTCATCAGAGAATTCACACTGGAGAAAAACCATACCCATGCACACAGTGCAGCAAAAGTTTCAGTCAGAACTCAGACCGTACCAAACACCAGAGAATCCACACTGGGGAAAAACCATATAAATGTAATGAGTGTGGGAAGGCTTTCAGTCAGTGCTCAGCTCTTATCTTACATCAGAGGACCCACACTGGGGAGAAACCATATCCATGTGATCAATGTGGTAAAAGCTTTAGTCGGCGCTCTGATCTCATTAACCATCAAAGAATCCACATTGGTGAAAAGCCTTATAAATGTGATACATGCGGGAAAGCCTTCAGCACATGCACTGATCTTACTGAACACCAGAAAATTCACACTGGGGAGAAACCTCACAGGTGTGTTCAGTGCAGCAGAAATTTTACCCAGCTCTCTGATCTAATTGATCATGAGAAAGTCCATTCTACCCAAGACAGTCTAAATGTGATGAATGTGGGACGACCTTTAGGGTATAGACCAACTTTATTCAGTACCAGAGACACTATACCAGAAAAAAATCTTATGAGTGCTATTGATGATTATGAAAAAGCTTTTAATCAATGTTCAACTCTTGTGCTACATTAAAAAAAAAAAAAAATCAATTTTTATAATGAAGTTTAACTCAGAGCTCATTACTGAACTTAAGAACATTTCTGAAGATGAAATCCTGTGAGTTGTGGGAAAACATCAAATGCGAATAAAAATTGTACTAAATAGGAATAATGGAAATTTGTATCTGTTGTAATGTAGAAAAACTCTAGTCTTATTCAAATACAACCCACAAGATGACAGTATTATCACTATAAGAAATGTATAACAATGTTAATGCAGAACCTTATCAGATATTGTACAAATCTGTTGTAGGTGTGCAATCAGACTCAGAAATATTAGCGCTATAAGCTCAAACCTTTAGTGAGTCCAAATTACCTATGAATATCATAGAAGTTATTTTAGATAATGTAGAGAAAACTTAAATCCCTTCCATATTTAATTGGCATTCACTCTGATATCACACTTATCTCTTAACAGCTGGAGAATCCTACCTATGCTAATACTAGTTATCTATCATTAAATTCCCTGTGTGTGAACATACTATGCTATTTTGGTATTAAATTTATTAACTACAGACAAAATTCTGGTGACCTATTTTCTCAGATTTTTTTTTCTTGGCCAAGTTTCAGTTTTCCTAGTGAGAATGAATTTTCAAGTTCCTGTGATGTTCACAGAAAATATGGACATATTTTACTCTCAGTAATGAGCCCATAAACTTTAGTGGTTTGAAATCACTTTTTCAATACTACCATTTAGTCACAGCATCTAAATAAGTGAAACAATTTCTTAAAAGAATTCCATGTTAAAATGAAGATTTCTCTACTATTATATTTATCTTGTCTATAGAATGAACAAAATGATGGCCTAATGATAGTCATGTAATACCCACATGACCAATTTGTACAGCATATTATATCTAAAAAAGACCTACCTACCAATTTTTAAAAGTAGAACCATTCATCAGACTTTGCTTGTTGATTTCTGACATTGATAATAGGCTATATATATGCAAAATTTTCAAATGAAAAATAGAAAGTTTTTTAAAAATAAAAAATTCAGAATTTTTCTGGTATTAATTATTTGTTAAAATTCTGGTACTATCATTTATTTTGACTGGCCCCCATAATTATCCAGTTAATATTTCAATTTAACAGACATTGTTACTATGTACAAGGCCATTTTTTTTTTTTACATTTCGTAGTGTGCATGATGAATATATATTGTCCTCACAAAGTGTGTATTGTATAGTGGTAAAGAATAATGCATACAGAAAACATATAGCTCAGTGTAATCATAAAAGTAGACAAGATACTTATAAGAGCTCAGAGGAGGCATGATTTAATTCTGATGGGAAAGAAAAGAGAAATTTTGGAGCTCCTGAGATTTGAGTTTTGAAGGATGGGGAGAGGCATAAAAAGCAGGGAGGGAATGAATAGTCAAAGGACAGAAGCAAGGGAGTATAAGAAATAATGTGGAGTGTGTTGTTTAAGTTACTAATTTATTCAATAAATATTCAGTGTCAGGTACTGTACTAAGTATTATCAAGTTTAAGTGTCATGAAAATAATGACTGAAATTTGTGCTTAAATTAAGAATAAGGTAGAAATAAAAATGAAGTAGATGTTAAGGAGTGTGATAGTAAACAAGCAGCACTTAAACTTTCTGGGGTTTAGTGTCATCTATAAAACAAAAGTACTAGGTATGGTTAGAGAAGGTATATTTATGCATTTACTCTCAAGCTAATGGAAAGCCATAAGGGTTTTTGAATCACAGAATGGCATGATCATCTCCCTACTTTAAGAATCTAAGATTAAAAGTAGGAAAGATTCAACAGAAAGGAAAACTTTGTAAGTCTGGAAATAAAATCATGAAGTCCAGAAGTAGAGGAGTTTGAAGGCATTGAAATGATGATAGGTTGAAAAGCGAGTAGGGAGAAAAGTGTACAATCAAGTATTGTCTGTTCTTTGGAGAACTGAAAAGTGAAAAAGAAAAATAGGATGATCAAACTTATATTTGAAATTCAGCCATCTCTCCTGAGAATAAATTTTAAGAGCCAACTGCTTACTATACACGATAGAAGTGTCCTACAGGGAAACTCAATTCATGGACATTAACACACACAACCATGATGTCTTCTTCTTGAATTCCCTATCTTGACAGATTACACTATTAAACGCCTTGCTCTCCAGATAAAATAACATGGCTATCCTACACTCCTCATTCTCCCCCTTTTCTAAATCCAATTGCTCACTAGGTCTTAGAAATGTTATAAGTAATGCTACTTACTGTAAAAATTCAAACAATAATGAAGTATATTGAGTAAAAAAGGAAGAGAAATGCAGAGTATTGGGCCTGACATTTTATGTCAGTTGATTTTCCCAAGCATTTGCTGATTCTTAAACTGGTAGGACCAAAGGCCAAGAAATCCAGCCAAAGGACACTGGAAGGTTAAGTGGAATTCTCAGCAAACTTACTATGATAGGGAGTAAAATTTGGAGTACAGAGCATGCCAAGGAGGTGCTCTTGTAAATACCCCACAATCTCAGGGTAAATATTGAGGCAATATCCTAGAAGTGAGAGTGAAACCTGTGTGGACCGAGGCTAAAAAAAGTCTGAAACAATCTCAACTCAGGTCAACTTTTTAGTGAATTATCTGCTCCTAATCCAGCTGCCAGTTAGATGCTGAAACCTCTCTAGAAGATGACAATACTATAACTTCATGCGTAATATCCAGTGTTTATTAGTCGCAGACATCAATATGCACACACACACAGATGGGTAACAGAGAAGCAAATATAGAATGTGTATAAGTGGGTTAGTATATGTACATCTATTACCTAGCCGTGTTCTCTGAGAAGACCTAGAAGTAATGACACTTCAGTATTAAAGAGCATACCCAGATCGTGGTTTGTAAATACCATTCTACAAATAAAAGGAACCGAGGCTCCTTTGAGAAATGGCTGATCTTAAGGATAGGGTAGGGAAAATTCAAGATGAGTCTGAAGCATCTTATAGTACCAGAAAGTAGCTCAAAAACCCAAACAATGCGGGGCGTGTTGAAGGAACATAAGAGTCAACCTGAAAGAGCTACCAAGAACAAATGTACATGAGTCCATGCTGCTAGAAATATGGGAGAAGTGACACATCTTCCTTATGGAAGGATTCCAACTAATATATGTAGATTTACCCTCCTTCAGGATGTGAAGCTTAATCCCAACTTTCAACCCCTAGAGGAGGCTGGACCTGTTGACTCACTCCCAAGGAATAGCATATAGAAATGGAAAAAAATAACTACAGTGGAGAAACCTGGCAAAAACTACTTTAACCTAAGGTTTCTCAACCTCCACACTGTTGACATTTTTGGCCAGATACCTGGCTACCTACATATAAATTTGATATATATACACTTTTTCTGAATTGTTTAAGTTGCAGATACAATGCCCTTTGACATTTAAATAGACTAAATAGGAAGAGGATTTTGAATAAAGTGACACAGTCTGATTTATATGATCTGGTTGCTGTGTTGAGAACTGAGTGAAGGAAATCAGGCAAGCAGGGAGGTTATTGGCCTGAGCAACTGGAAAGAAAATTGCTACTTTCTAAGATGAGGAAGACTCTAAGAACATATTTAAGGAGAAATTAAGTTTGTTTTGGGACATTAGGTTTAAGATGCTCATATAGGCATTATGTCAAGCCCAGTTTACAAGCCTCCTATTTACAGGGCCAGGGTTTCTGCTCTATGATAATGATGACTCTCTAAGAAGAGTGCCGGCACTGTCTATCCCTGAGGTTGCAGGCCCACAAGGCTGTGGGTAGAGGGAGCGGCTGACTTCCACTCCTGGGTAGTTGTGTCGTCTTGGAGCCTGACTTTCCCAGGGGTTGCTGCTGGAGAGGCTGCATGGTGACACCTGAAGTGTGGTGGAGCTGATGCTATGTGGAGGAAACTGACCAGAGGGAGTGGGGGAGTCCAAAGTCTTCTCCCTCCACCTACCCCATAGTGAGGTGGTGAGGTAGTTCAGACCATTTGCACTCTAAAGATGGTCAGTGAGACTAAGCAAACAGCTGTACTTAAGAAGCTCTAGATGGCTCAGTAATAACAATTTGTATTTGTTCTCTCTCCTTCCACTTCAATTCCTTTTTATCCTCAGTCATCCTCTTCTGGGATTCCATCACCCCAATAAAGTTTTAGCAATAACGTTTTATTTTAGGATGTTTCTTAGGAACCCAGACTAAAGCAGGCATCAGAGATCTCTCGTAGGCAAAGAGATGGATGAGCCTGTAGTTTAAAGAGGTCTAGGCTGAGACATAGATTTTGGAGTTGGAGATAGTACTTAAAGACATGAGACCAGAAGAGATCACCTAGAAAGTGAATATAGGTAGAAAATAGAAGAGATCTGAACACTGACCTCTCAAACAGTTTGATATATAAAAGTCCAGAAAGATGAGGAAATACCAGCATCGAGACTGAGAAGCATCTCACGAGGTAGTGTTGTTCTTGAAGCCAAATTGTCAATTATGCAAACTATTGCTGATGGCTCAAGCAATACATCTAATAAACGAATATTCAAATCAGCAGTATAGAGGCTGGCAAACTTGAACTCTTTATGTGGAGAAAAAATTATATCATGCCATGTCACACCTCTCATTCCTGAAGTTTATCTTTTCTTTTTTTCCTGATCAGTCTGGCTAGTTTGTTAATTTTATTAATCTAAAAGTTCACTTTTCTAAAGTTTCTCCTATATTACCTTTAAAAAGAAAATACATTAAAAATTGTTTTAAGAATTCAAAGAAATATAGCTGGACACTATCACTCTCTTTCCTATCTCAAAGTCATAGTCCTACCAACGGTTAACCAGGTCTTCCAGAATCTGGCCCTGCTTTCCACCCTCACCCCATTTAACCTCTCTGGCTTCATCCAATACTTCCCCTCACATTCATTCTGTTCCAGCCACACTGGCCTTCTTGCTGTTTTGGGATCAGGCATTGCTCCCACATCAAGTCCTTTGTACTTGCTATTCACATGCCTAGAACATCTTTCCTCTGGTCTCAGCTTGCTTCTTTACACTCATTATCTTTCATCGAATTTCATCCAGTGAAACCTTCCCTGGACTACCTATCAAAATTGCAATGCCTGTCTTCCTTGATGTTTTGTATCCCTTCTCTCCTGACTTATGTTTACTTTACCACTCCTATGACATACAATAACATATGTTTTTCCACCACGTGTAGTTTCCATACACAGAAGCAACAGATGTAAACCCCAGAACGGTCTTGGGCTCGTTCCATAGGCGAGAGTAAAATGAGGGACCCTGAGAACTCACCATGGAAAGGGAATGGCTAAGGGCTCCAAAGGTCACATACAGGAGCTGTTTGAGGGGAATGCCCCAAGACGATGGTTGGTGAGTGCAGCACAGACTTAGCAATGTAATTTCATGTCAGTCTCAGGTTAATGAAGGATAGGAGAGAGATGCCAAAGACGTGACTGTGTGAAGAGCTTTTCATCCACAGACATTCCCAACACCAATGTTTAGTTATTGTTGGATTGTAAAGTATTATGTGTGCAGTACAGAGTGCAGTAACAAATGGCAGAGGTTGACAGAGGCCAATGGAAGGCCATGCTAATTTTATTAACCTATATAGTGCATAAAGTATAAGTCTGGAATTTAATATTACAAAGATTTTCTACAAATCAATAAGAAAATACAAATAACCTATATTAATCAGGACAGAAACCCAATTCAATTATCTTAAACAAGAAAGGGACTTTATTGGCTCACAAAACTTTAAAGTCCGGAGGTAGGGCAGGCTTTAGGCACAGCTGGATCTAGGGCCTCCAGAAAAATGACATCACAACTTAGTTCTCTTTCCTTTCTGCTAGCCTCTGAGTTTCTCTTCAGACTCTCCACATGGTACAACTTCATGCTTACATTGTCGTTAGTTTGTGGGATATCCGTAGAGCCTTCTTTCCAATAGTTCCAGAAGTTCTGTTGAGGGCTCTCTTTAGCCTGGCTTGAGTTATATGCCCATTCTTTAATCACTGTGGCTAACGAGCTGCAGGACTCAGGAAGGCCAGACTTGGTCATGTACTCACCTAAGCCACAGGGAATGGGTTCCCCACAATAAATAAGGGTTCTGTTACCAAAAAATGGGGAAAGAGATGCTGAACAAACAGAAACATATATCCACACATGACCCAATAGGAAAGCAGGTAAAAGATATGAACAAACAATCCATGGTAGAACTATAAATGGCCAATAAACATGAAAGTAACCTCAACCACACCATTAATCAAGGAAACGCAATTAAGGATTTTTTTTTTTTTTTTTGCCCATCATATAAAAACTATCAACTGTAGGTAAGACTATATGGGGAAATGAGCATTTTTCATACAGTTGGTAAAAATATAAAGGTATGAAAAAGCCTTTTGGAAGGCTAAAGTGGGTCTATCAGAGAACATACCCTTTGATACAAAAATCTACCTTATATAACTCCATCCTAGTCACACAAATGCACAAAGATATATGGAAAAAGACTTTGACAACATAATAGCAAGAGACAAAATAAGGGAATAGTTCAATAATAGTATTTTCATAGTATTGAATCCTATTCAACCATTAAATAAATTTAAAGACTTAAGAATAGGTATTTGAGACAAAAAAAAGTCAAGCTGCAGAACAATTTATATATATGATCCTATTTATGAAAAAATAGCTTTTATATGTTTATGTATAATCATATGAAAATGCATGGATAGGGACTAGATAGATGTATAACTAAACTATGGACAGTGGAATGTGATTAGAGGTGCTGGAGAAAAGGGTCTCTTTGCTTTTATATTTGTGTATTATTTAAGTTTTGTACAGTGAGCTGATAGGCATTTATACTTCATAATTAAAAAAGAAAAATGAGCACATGCATTTCACAACAGGAAATGCAAATGGCCAATAAAAGTATGAGGAGATGTTCCCCCTTATTAATAATCAAAGAACTAAATATTACCTATCAGATTAGCAAAAATATTTAAAGATTCAGGTGGGAGTGTAGGCAAATAGGCACTTTTACTATTGATGGAGCTGTAAATTGGGACAATCTTTTGGGTGGCATTTCTTAAAATGTTAAATGTGCACATTCTCTGACCCAAAATGTCCATTTCTATTTATCCTACAAAAATACCAACACAGGCATCAAAATATATGTACAAAGATGTTAACTATACGTTTATCTACAATAAAAACTGGAAAGAACCAAATTATCCACCAATAAGGGGTCTGTTAAATAAATTACAGTATATTCATGCAATGTAGTAGTATGTAGCCACGAAAAACAATGTCTGTATCAAAGTGGAGGGGAGGCAAGATTCAGTGCAGTACATGTAAAATGGGGATATGTACCTACCTCATATGGTTGCTGTGAGGATTAAGAGTTAACCCATGATAAAGAACTTCAAACCATGCCTGCATACAGCGACCACGAGTGTCAGCTATTAACACATTTTTGCTTACATCTGTATATGCCTAGGTCTGGAAGAATAACTACTTGAGTAAGACTATGAGAAGGAATGTCTGTTTTCATTTTACATTTCTGTACTAAAGAAAATTCAATCAAGCATATTTAATAGCTTTCATATTTGTTAACCATAAGATAAAACCTAAAATCAAGGTTTAACAGCCATTAATCATGGCACTGTGGAGGAACATATGTCCTGGAGTTCACAGAACTAGATTTGAGTTTTAGCTCTACTTGATCACATACAAATTACACAATCTTTGAATCTTTTCTAGTCTACAAACAAATCTAAATGAGATAGGTACAGTCTAATCCAATGCCTGGCATGCAGATTCTTTCTTTATGTATAACCCTCCCTTCGACTTACTTAAATGTGATAGACATAGTGCTTAATGATCAAGTGCCAACTGGGTGTAAATGTAGGGAGTTTTACCTCAAGGAAAACAGAAAATTTAGCAGTAACAAGCAAATGCTCGGTGGCTATTCGGTAGGTTTCAGCAGTCTGCATGCCATTAACACTGACTTCTTCTATGCTAACCAACCAGATGCCGTTTGGCAAAAGCCACTTGATCGGAGGCTGGGCCCCCAGAACTGCTATTATCTGTGTGGATATAAATGAATGTATAAATGAAATCATAAATCACTAGTTATTTTAAATCAATTTGTCTACTAGGGACTTAGCCTGATCAGAGACCACTACTTCCTTTTCCTGGGTATCATCACCCGGTTTTTTTGGATGCAGACATTTTCCCCATAGAGCCTTGCCTTAGCCTCAGAATTCTTTCTAAACAGGTATCAGAGCTGGCAAGACAAACACATATTTGCCAACTCTAATATTACTTTTTCTAAGCTCTCACATTTTACCAAACATCTTTGGCATTTATGACAAATTTACTAACATGGAAGCTACTTTGTATATAGGAAAGACATAAAATCTAAAAAAGCATGAAATTTCAGCCACTGAGAGCGACCCCTTACCTACTCTAATAACTGTCATCCTAGAATTCCAAATATGCCACCTCAAAGCCTACTTGGAAAGCCAGTTATAAATAAATAAATCAACTCAAGATCGTTTTATCTTAGAGTGGAGGAGTTTATACCTTTATTGGAGATTGACTTATTTCCTTTCAGCCAGAGAAAAGACCCAAACAGAAGTCCCTACATTTTCTTGTATAACTTAAAATACATTATATCATTACTACATATTTATACTTCAATAAATCTTAATCTATAAAGCACATTTCTTATAATTATCAAAAAATCTATAAACAGGCTCCATTCTGCCTCACTTCTCCAACAGCTGGCCTTGCATTTATTACTATGCTTTTTAAAAGGCTCATGCAAATCTCACCTTCCATTTTTAAAATTTGTTCCAAGCACCAGATGTAACCAAAATCTCTGGAACTATGAAATATTTTTATTCACATGGGTCATTTTCCATACAATGATACCCACTATAAAAAAAGACTTTTCTCATATTCTATTTTAAATTCCAGAGTTTTCCACTAAATAGTAGAACCACAGTACTTGGGATTCTCAGCCAAGGAGTATATAATCCTACTACTACAATGTATTACTTTCATACATTTTTAGAAATGTGTTAAGACTTAAAATTAAAAAAAATAATTCAATCCTGTTAATAAACTAGTTGTTAATAACCTAGTTATTTTTTTAAATAGAACAATCCATTCAAATTAACATGTAAGTACAACCTCAATGCAACTAGAGATTGATTAGTTTTTTAAGAAAACCCACAAACTTCCACACTGTGATAGCGAGTATTCTGGACTCACCTCTGAAGAATCCTGGAGAGATGGCTAGCTCTTTGAGCTGAGTCTTCCCTTCCCCCAAATACAACACCCTGGTAAGAGAACTATGGCTCTGGGAATTTCAGAGGTGACCTCCCCTAGGACTGCTTAGGACAGGGAGTAAGAGGCTAACTCACATGAAGCAGCTTTGTACCAAACCCTCAATAATTTACAGTGGAAGAAATACCTACCTACTTATGGTAGGGTTACAGTACTTAGCACAGTGTCTTATCGGTAGAAAATGTTTTAATAAATGAATGTGTGGCTGCTTAGTTAGCCTGGTGTTCAAATCTTTTTTACCAAAGGAATAAAACAGCAAACCTGATTACTTGTTGCCTGTCAGGGAATTTTCTGTCCTTAATAAAATGAAGGCAAAATGATAATGAATTGGATCTTCAAGTCTTTTTTGTTTTCTAAAAGCCGAGACAGACCATTACTCTTTTACATTTGCCCTTCAACACTGCCATTCACTGCAATTGCTCTTCTAGTGTTATTTCTACTTTCATAGTTTACAATTATTGTTTAGACTGTTCACTTTCTAATGATACATGGGAGAACATTCTTTCCATTTAGTGGGATGCCTCCAAATTACAGATTGGATGTGCCATTTTTGAGTTTTCCTGCAGACAGATAATTAAATTCTTGATACACTTCAATTCTTAGATCAAGGTATTTTTGTTATCTTCTCCGATCTAGGTGTCCCATTCACATTTTATTTCATCACTATCACTTCTAATTTTACTTTGAAGCTTTAGTCATCCTTCATCTTCTGTTTTCTGAAATGCATATCCAAATTGGGTAAAAGGAAACAGAAGAGTAAATTTTGAAAAAAATTGTTTGTTTTCAGACTTTATAATTCCAATGTTGCCTTTTAATGTAGAAGAGAATGTAACATTTCAATGATCAACAAAGAATAATGTATCTGTCTAAAAAGGAAACTTTTAAGAAAGGGACAAGGAATTAGATCATTATTTGGAAAAAATAGTAAGAATACAAACATCACATGGAAGATTTAGGCATTAACACCTGAATTAAGTTTAAAATTTCAGTTTCTAGGCAGGTATGACACCATTTCTTTCAAGATAAAATAATAATGGTGGGTGATGATATCCTACATTTCCCAGTGGATTTTCTAACAGTCTATAGGGAAATAAAACTATTATGTATCATTCCATGTGTTTAATTTTGTCTTCATTTCTGAAGAAAAAGACCTGAGTGTTGACTTCGTTTTTAAATTTCTTAAACTTTCACAACATTCAGAAGTTTTTCTGCATTGTGTCGTCGCTGATGTCTAAAAAGATTTGAGCTTTGACTATACGATTTCCCACACTGAACGCATTCATAAGGTTTCTCTCCAGTATGGATTCTCTGATGATTAATAAGCCCAGAATTCTGGCTAAAAGCTTTTCCACATTCAAGACATTTGTAAGGTTTTTCTCCAGTATGGACTCTCTGGTGTTGCACAAGGATAGAACTTCTACTGAATGCCTTCCCACATTCAACACATCCGTAGGGTTTCTCTCCACTATGGATTCTTTGATGAAGAATAAGGGCTGAGCCCTGACTGAAGTGTTTTCCACATTCATCACAAATATGCTGTTTCTTTCGGGAAGGATTTCTCTTTCTTTCAAACCTGCCCTTAGGGAAACAGGCTTCTCCATATTTAAAAATCTGAGGAACACCTATATTGAGAGTGCCAGGAACTTCATGAGATTCTACTGCGGATGGAATCTCCTGTTTTGGAGCTAGCGCTCCATTTTCAGTCCTAGCATCATCATCTGGAACAAACAGAAAATGTGAATAACATTTGTTTCCTATTCTGGGAGAAAGGAAGCTGAAGAAAAAAATTATTTAATGAACTGAAATAGCTCGCATCCATCTATAAACAGCACTCTGAAAACTGGTGTTAAGGTTGCCTACTTTCAAAAGAGAAAAAAATAAAATGACTGATTATGAGACTAATGAGGTAATGGCATGATAACATAATGAGGGATAAAAGTTATACCTGAATAAAAGTAGAAACATAGGGGAATGGGTTATAAATGGTAATCAGAAAATAAAGAACAGAAAGATGGTAAATTTTAAGACTGTTAGGGAGACAGTAAGGACGATGAAGCTAGATCTGGATGAAACTTTATAAGAAGAAAAATAAGGTTGGTCATTAGGAAATCGATTTTTTTTTTTTTTGCTTTGAAAAGGGGAGAAATTACATCAAAATACAATGGTGTAAAAAATAAGCAGTCGGAAAGTGACTAATTCTGAAATGAGCAAGACAAGGCAGATCACAGCCAAGATCAGACTAAAAGCAGAACACTGGAGGAGTCTTGACAAGAAAGGGCTTAAGATAAGCTGGGAGCATCCTGTGTTAACTCAGGACAACACTTTCTTGTCATGGTACCTAGATGAGTTATTTCTAAGCCTCGGTTAGATGTGTATAGTGAAAGGAAAGCCTGAATTACCAACACAAGGTACCATTACCCCTCTGCAGGCAAGATTCATTTAAGACTTTCCTGAAATTTCAAGCCTTGAAAAGTTAAGACAGTTTCTACAGGGTGAGCAGCAGTCAGAAAGTGGTAAATAGTAAACAGGTAGATAATAAATGATTAAGAAATGAATAAAGTCAGGAAAGAAAGCTGACAGAGAGAGACTGAAGGGCTGGAAGGGAGTAGTGAGGTCTAGAGACTTGAAGAACAGAGAAGTTAGTGTAAAGATTAAGTGAAGACAAATGGCACAGAAATAAGTAAGTTACTGAGTGTGACAGAGACTAGACTGCTGAAATGAGGTATTTAAAAATAGGTGAAAAGTATTCTAAAATTCAGGCTGGGGAGAAGTTTTCTACCCAAGAAAATGCCACCTCATAAAACCAAGGATAGAGGTGCTCAAACTTTACTGCACAGGAGAATGTCCCGTGAAACATGTAAAACTGCAGATTCTCAGCAGACTTCAACTGCATCCCAGGAGTTCTGGTTCACCAGATGGGAAGGAAATCTGCTCAGACCTCATTCTGTGACACTCCAGCATGATCTCCAACTGCCTCAAAGAATGATTCCCAAAGCAGTCTCAAACAAAATTTCATTTCAGTTATTATATAAATATGAAAGAGAAATCTAACAGTTTTAGGAATACACTGGGTTGTATCAAAGTATACAAATAAGTATGTGGCATTAATTGCCAATATATTGGAAAAGATCAGTCTAAATGAATTATTAGAATTATGTGCTTTTTATTTAACTTTCCTATATTTAAAGCTTATTATAGCTAAGGAGCTTATTTTTGCATAAATACTTAGAAAAGGTGAAGAGCTTTACCCAAACATCATTTCTACAAAAGAATCTTCTTTGGAAAAAAATGACTCTAAATGTTGAAAAAAACAAACATAGCTAAAAATTTAGAAAGACTTCAATAATAAACAAATAAAAATAGATTTGAAAAGGCTTCAGGTAAGCTTACTATACCAATAACATTAGGCAAGAGATTACAAGGGCATGGAATAGATAACAAATAAGCAATACTACATGCAAAATAGAGGGACCTGGTCTACAGGTAGGTGCTGGCTCAGAGTAAGGCAAATGCCAGCCTCAAATGGGTAGGTCTTCAAGGAAGAGGTAAAAGGGAAGAAAAGGCTGACAGTAATGTCTGAGGAAAAAAAAAATTGAGGTCAGCAACCGTTGTAAGAATCAAGCTCCTACAGTGTGTCTAGAAATTGGGGAAGGTAATAATCCCCGCCCTCCATCTCCCTCCCCAAAAAAACACAAAAGAAAAAATAAAGAGTCTGGGACAAAAGGCCCATACTCTCTTTCACCCTCTAGCCCACGGGGAATTTTGGTCCTCACCACAGTGCCTTAGGGAATGGAGCTCCCAGGATGCCCATTTGAGCTGGTTTTCCACAGCATCAAGCTCAGAACTTGGTAATCCCTGAGCTTCTTCTTGAGATACTATCTCTTCAACTAGCACTTCCCGTTTTCTTCGATGGAGAGAAACCTGGAAATAATAATATTTGATTCAGTAGATAAGAAATTGGATGAGAATTAGAACTAAACGCACGTAAGAGAAACCATACAAAACATATACTGTGGTTGGGTAGTTAATTCAGCAGCTTTGCCTACTGCTATGCCAGTGCATCTGATCCAGCAAAGTGACACAAGCAGGCTCACCGGCTGTCCAGGGTCATCTAGTTCACTCTCTAAATCTTCCAGCACTGTCACTGCCTCCTCTCCATTCTCTGGATGATGCTCTCGAACCCAAGTCTGCAGCTCCTTGGGCAGGATGGCAACAAACTGCTCCAGCACTACCAGCTCCAAGATTTGTTCTTTAGTGTGCGTCTCTGGCCTGAGCCATAGACGGCAAAGTTCTCGAAGCTGGCTCACAGCTTCACGGGGCCCAGGTGAATCCTGGTATCCAAACTGCCTGAATCGCTGCCGGAAAACCTCTGGATCAGAGAGATGGTTCCAAGGGATACTTGATCCCTCTTCACCATCAGGATCTTCCTCCAACTTCACTCTCAGAATTTTTTCCTCTTCATCTGGAGTTGGGATGATAAGTATTGAATCTTCTTCCACTGACTGTGCAGACATCCTGATTTATAATACTTCAAGAAAAGACAAGGCAGGATACAGACCTCAGAGAAATACCTCTTTTTCTTCACAGGCACTCCTGAGGCACAAAAAATAAAAATATATATACAAATGACCAAATATCCTAAGAATTTGGACACATACTAATAGAGGAAGTAAAAATATTTCTTTTGCTGGATTAAAAATTCCAATCAATAACCTATACCATAAGTTGGCAAACAACAGCTCATGGCCAAATTTGGCCTGCTGCCCATTTTTGTACAACACTTGTATTAACAGTTTTCACATTTTTACATGACTGAAAAGAATACATCATGAATGTGAAAACTAAATGAAATTAAAATGTGTCCGCGAAAAATTTTTATCTGTTCACAGTTCATGCAACAATGGCAGAGTAGTTGCGACAGAGACTATATGGCCTGAAAAAAAACTGGTATTTACTTTCTGGCCCTTTAGAGAAAAAGTCTGACCTACAAAACCGATAAACCCTATTTCAGTAATCAAAAGAAACTGCCCACCTCTGTGTTTTCTAAATGCATCTGACCCTTGACCACATTATTTGCAATTTGAGACTGGTGTTCCCTGACAAACTTAGGTCAACTCAAAAGCAAGGACTTTATTATCTGCCTCAGAAAACAATTTAAGACAAAACGTGTTATTTTAAGTTAAAAAATATTTTAAAATGTTTAAGAACACCTCAGACTTAAAATATATGTAAAAATTATTCACTTATTCAGGAACAGATAATGTAATATTGAAAAAAAAATTAGCCTCTTCGGGCTATACAATGCAAGTATTATTCCGTCACACATCACACCATAACTACATTTAAATTTATGATGACAGGCATTAATAACGGCAAATTTTTAAGAAAAGACATTCTCATAACTACCTTAACTTCTTGCAGTGGACCACGACCTAGTCCTTAGACTAGATGACCCACAGGTTCCCCAGCTTTTACTTTCAGGGAAACCTTATGCTATTTCTGATCCCTTCCTTAGTATTTGCACAGTCATGCCTGTGCCATTGTTTATAATACATATTAGGAATGAGCCATGCAGCTACTCGATTTACCTATTCAGGACCCAGAATGTGAATACCAGTAATTTCAAAAAACTTATTGTAACCCTATCAAGATGAAGACTAGATATCAGAAAAGACTTTATCAGGCAGGTGACACGCACAAGTTTAAGTACTCCGGAATGTGATGACCTTATAAATAGGATTCAGCCAATTGATTCGGTCTTCTTATATATCAGGGTCCTATCTTATGAATGGCCCAAGCATTCTATATAAAGACATTTCCTTCTATGTTCTTATCTAGCACCCTGCTCGTGAGACTGACGGAGGTACCAGGAGGGCAAGCCCGTGCTCCCGAGCGTCTGGGTAGGCAGCCTCGTTCCAGACGCTCTCCCCACCTCGCCCCTGCCGAGTGCCACCACGAATTCACTCCCCGAGCAGATGTCCTCCGTATTCTCTTCTCCGCACTCACGGCGGCGGACTTCAGATGACCAAAGGCCACCTTGCCACAACGTCGAGGACACGGCATTTCCGCCCGCGGCCCGCGCAACTACAGGTCCCGGCAGCTCCCGCGCCAGGGTCCGCCCTCTCCCACCTCCGCCCGAAACGAGTCCCAGAACTCTCCGCGAGACGCCAGGGCCTCGAAATAGAACAAAACCGGCTGATGGGGGAGGGGGAAGGCGGGGGTCGCAGAGGACAGCCGGGACGGAGAACTCTCCGAGGGTGTCGAAAGTCCGAACTGGCCTTTCGTATAGCCCTCAGCACCACGCAACTTCTGGGCGCCGAGACCTCGGCCTATGCCCCGCACCTCCAGGGGGCCCGAGGAAGATCCCTGCCAGGTTTCTTCGCTGGCTCCGGCCAGCGGTCCGCAGCCCCAAGCCCAGCGTCCCCCTCGCACCCTTTCCCCCACTCTGGCGCAAACCTCCGTCTCAGGAACCTCGGCAGCTTCGCTGTCCACGGCAGACGCAGAAACACCGCTCACAAGCCGTTTCCCAGAAGCCCCCGGCGCGGACTGCTTCCGGTCTGCGGGCCCAGGAGGCGGGGAGAGGCGAAGCCCCGCGTTGCCATGGAGATGCGCTCGGGGCGGGGGAGGGGCGGCCCTACGACAATGACCGCTTTGAGGCCGGTCTTGGCCTTGCTCGTTTCTCCTCGGATAGCCCAACGTCCTCCGTTCCAGTTAAAAGACAAGGACAAGAAAGAATTCTGCCATTAAGATAGTGTTTACGATTTCACAAATCCTTTCACATGCATTTTCTCATGTGATCATCATAGTAATCCTTTGACATAACGAAAGCTAGTATCCATGAATGCTTACTACATTGTGCCAGGTACCATCACCATGTTTTACATGTATTGTCATTAATATTCGCAAAAATCCTATGATGCAGCAACTTTTTTGATCCCCATTTTACAGCAGAGATAACGAAGGCAGAAGTAAATAACTTGCCAAGAGCTCATAACTAATAAATGGGAAGTAGGATTTGAAACCTAGACAAGACTCCAACCTTTGGTTCCCACTGGCTGTTACAGAGCTTTATTTTGACCAAATTATCTATTATGGAAACAACATGAGACAGGTTAGAGCTTTGTCAATGACCTCACATTGAATTTGCACAGTGCATGCTCATCCTCTGACTTCAGGCTGGGCATTTTATACCACGAAACAGCTGCTGAAGTATTCGTCTAATAATTCAAATCGGACTATTTCATTCCTTATTTAAAGGCCTTCAATGGATCCCCACTGCTTTAAGTATAACATAAAAATTCCTTACTTTGGCCTGCAAGCCCCCTGTAGTTTGTTCCCTACCCTCCCTGTCTGTCCTCAGCTTAGGCTCTCTATGGCTAAGGATCCCCAGTCTCAATGACCGTCTTCCTCCTGGAAAATCTTTGTAGCACTATCAGAAGTAATCCCTCTTATTCATTTCCCTGTTTTTTGTTTTGTCTTGTTTGGGTCTATAAGTCCCATAAGGGCAGGGACCTTGCCTGTATTCTTTACCACGGTATCCCCACCTAGTCCTAGGATGCTGACTGCCCAGTACCTAAAGAATTCAATAAACATCTGTTGAATAAATGAATGAATTGTGGGCTGGCTACATTGCTGCTTTTGCTAGGTCATATTTCAGGTATCAGAAACTGCACAAAAGAGCCCTGTTGCTTAAGGTCTGTATTAGAAGTATAGAGCCAGCCTTCCAGAAGCATTGTAAGATTCGCAGGCTTTGGCTTTCTGTCTCATTCAGGAAAGTACCCTCTGCAAAGTGCCCTCAGAGGGCCTCTGATAAATTTGTGAATGAGAAAACAAGTTAGCGAACAGTTGATGGTAAAGCACTATTTTATACTCTGACCAGAATTTTTTCTCCCAGAACCCTTGATAACTCTGATCTTCTTTCTTTCATCATTTAGGAGGCTTCAGAAATCCAGGATTCACTCTTCTATCTGGCTACTGCCATTAACTGGGTTGGGTGTTCTTCCTACCTTCCCCTCTTTTGTGATTCTAAATGCTAGCCCAAGGCATTTTTCTTTGTTTTATTTTACTTTAAGAGTTTTTACATGTAATGTTCGAAAAGATAAAAGATTAAAAAAACAAACGAACAAATACTTAAGGAAATTTAAAATGTTGAAATTTTACAAAACCTTTTGCTGGGATTTCTTTTTATTATTCCTAATTTTTTCTAGGAGAGTCAATAGAAACCACAATGAAGTTTTCCTCTCTAATTTACTCTTATGAGGGCAGAGACCAATGCCCACTTTGAAACATCGCTCTGAGCCTCACTATGTAGGCTCTTTCATGACTGGTGGTACTTGCTGCCATCTTAAAGATCTAGTCAAGATAGAGCATCTTGTTTCTCTGGGCAATGTTTTTTCATGCTATTATCTATATAGATAACATAGGCAAGGCTTGAACTGCAGCTGATCTGAGCTTTGGCAGAACACCTTGTGACTCTTTCTGAACATGAGAGCATGAGAGGCTTGTAAGGAGTTGCTACAAGGCCATTTGCCACTCAGTTACTTGCCTCCTGAGAAGGTTGTCATGAGACAGTTTCTCATTGTTTCCTGGGTCATGGTAAGTCTTTCTGCTTCACCCCTCTACAGTACAGCTGCAGACTATAAAAAGGCTTAGGTGCAGCATAACATTAGTCCCTCAGGACCAAGGTGTTTCACAACTCATGTTGCAGTCATCTGGCTCCTTTTGTTTGGGTGTCATTCTTTTGGTGTGTGAGACAAAAGCTCATGAGGAGTTGGTACTTGGGGCTACTCTTGCTTTCACTGTCTGTGTAAGGAATAATCTTTCTAAATCTAAAAAGGACTCATTGTAAAGTACCAGGCAAAATTTTTAACCTTGCCTTAAAAGTATCTCATTCATTAATGGTAAAAAATTAAACAAGTAAACAAAAACAGATAATTCATAGGTTCCAGAGAACTAAAGGTGACTAAAATGAAGTTATGATTCCTTCTTTTAGCATCACCACCTCATCAAGGAGACAGACAGGAAACAAGCATTTACAAGGCGGTGGAGAAATGCTATAGTAGAGAATAGAATACCAGCAGGGGCACCTAAATGAGGTAGAATGCTGGGGGAAATGGGAGGCACCCTGAGGCAGAGGAAGAGAAGTTTTTACTTTGGAAGAGATCGGACCTTTAGATTTGGCCTTTTCAGATTTCATCCAAGAATTATCTTTTCTAGACTTTTCTCTAACGATTATTTTAGAGCTCTCAGTCACTCCCCTCAGCTCAAAAGTATTTTCCCCTGGGCGCTTTAAGTACACTGGTTAAAGATTTCATTTTAGCTGTTAAATGCACTGCAGCAGAATTTTGATTGCAAGTTACTAAAAGCTTAACTGTGGTAAGCATTGTTAGCTTCCTATATAAAGCACTGCCCTTACTTCTTATGTGCCCCTAATTTTTTGGATTTGCAGGGGTGGAGGTGGGGACAGGTAAAACTGTGCCCAGCAATAAGTAGGTCGTTAAGTTGTAATTGAACCAAGCTATCCATGACCATTCTGTTTCCCTTCGCCAGATAATCACTCTGCCTTCTTGGCAGCTAGGAATGGCTATGTGATTTAGTTCTGGTCAATGAGATGTAAGAGGAAGTAGTTTGTGTCTTTCAAGAAATATATCTAATTCATGTACATTGTCAAATTTATTGGCATAAAGTTGTTCATAATATTTCCTTAATACCCTTTTAATGTCTTTAGGATCAGAGGTGATATCCCCTCTTTCATTTCTGAAATTAATAATTTCTGTTCGTCTGGGTTTGGGTTTTTTTTTAGCAATTTTGCTTAAAGTTTATAAATTTCATTAACCTTGCAGAGAATAAACTTTTCACTTTGTTCATTTGCTCTATTATTTGTTCTCTATTTTGTGGAGTTCTCCTTTAAAAAGTTAGTATACAGTAAAATCGACTCTTTTTTTTGTCATGTACTCTATGAGTTTTAAGACGTATATTGATTTGTGAAACTACCACCAAGATCATGATACATAATGGTTTCATCACTCTATAAAATTGCTTCAAGATGTACTCGCAACTTTCCTATATCCCTAACCCATGGCAACCACTGATTTGTTATCCATTAAAATTGTTTTGACTTTTCCAGATTATTATAAATCATAAAGTATGTAACTTTTTACATACATTTTGTTCAGCATACTGCCTTTAATCTTTCATTCAGCATGACTTTGAGATTCATCTAGGTTATTGCATGTCTCAATAGTTAATCCTCATTAAATTTTATTGCTGAGTACTGCTGAGTAGTATTTTATTGTAGGTATCAGTTTGTTTACGTTCAAACATTAAAGAACTTTTTAGTTGTTTCCAGATTTGAGCAATTATGAATAGCTACTTTAATACTCATGTATGGGGTTTTGTGTGAACATATTATTTTTCTAGAGTAAATATCTAGAACTGGGATTGCTGGATCATATAGTGTTATGGACTGAATGTGCTACCCTCTCCCCGCCCCCAAATTTTCATATTGAAGCCCTAACCCCTAATGTGATGGTGTTGGAAGATGGGCCCTTTAGGAGGTAGTTAGGTTTAGATAAGGTCATGAAGGTAGGGCCCTTATGATGGGATTAGTGCCCTTATAAGAAGAGACAAAGAGAGAAAAGCTTGCTTCTATCTTTCTGCTCTATGTGAGGACCCAGCAAGGTGGCCATCTGCAAACCAGGAAGAGAGCCCTAATCTGAGAACTAAATCAGCAGGTATCATGATCTTGAACTTCCTAACCTCCAGAACTGTAAAAACAAATTCCTATTTTTTTCAAGCCATTCAGTATATAATATTTAGTAATAGCAGCTAGAGTCGAGCAATATATATGGTAAGTAAATACTTATTTTTATGGGAAACTGCCAGACTGTTTTTCAGAGTAGCTATACCATTTTACATTCCATCAGCCATATACAAGTGTTCCAGATGCTCCACATATTCACCAGCACTTTGTATTATCTTTAGAATTTTGTCAAATACTTTACTGCATCAATTGATATGACTATGTGGTTTTTCCTTTTGAAACTACTAGTCTGGTAGGTTACTTTGATTTTGAATACTGAGCCATCCTTATAGCCCTGGGTAAACCCCACTTGGTGCAGGTGTTTTACTCTTTTTATGCATTGCTGGATTCAATTTGATAATATTCTGTTGAGGATTTTTATGCCTATGTTCATTAAAGATTTTGGGTTATAGTTTTCTTGTACAGTCTGTTCTTTTCTGCTTTTCAATATTTATTCTCTGCAGTTTAAATAGGATAATTTCTATCCATCTATTTCCTTTGTCATCTGCATTCTTCCATCGAATACAAACGGTGCATATTTTGAGTGTTGTAATTTTCTGCTCTAAAATTTTTATTTAGTTCTTGTTTATGTCTCCTATTTCTTATCTGAGGTTTTCTATCTTTCCACTTATTCACTCTTATTTCATAAGCATGGTTATAATACCAGTTGTTTTCTGATAATCCTAACATCGTTATCATCTAGGTATTAGTATAGTTTGATTTTCTTTTCCCTTGCAAATTGAGATACTCCAGGTTCTTCCTATGCCTAGTAATTTTGCATTGTATCCTACACATTTTGAATGTTATTAGATTCTAGGTATCATCTAAACCCTAAAAAGAAGGTTGATTTTTTTGTTTTATCAGGCAACTGTCCCAGTTAGGGTTAGGCCACAAGTTCTGATCTGCATTGGGAAGACTACAGTTCCAATGTCAGTTTGGTTTTCAAACACTTCCAGTACAATTTGAATATGTCCTTTGCATATGCTGCCCAGTGGCCACTCTGGATCTTGGTTGGTAGTCTACTCCAGCTCACTTCTAATGCCTGTTGTCTGCTGTTCAGAGTCAGATCCATGCATGCACAATTTAGAGATAAGCAGAGAAGTTCATATACTACTTTTAGGGATCACACTTGATTACCCTCCTCTTTGCAATAAACCCAACACTTTCTGGCCCCCTGAGGACTCCCTTACTAATCTACCAGCTAGAAAGCTGGGGTTTTAGTTTCCTTGCTCTGCTGTTTACTTCTCTCAACTATCCTGTAGATGGTCCAAATAGTGAGAGGACACAGAGAGAATAAAAGCAATGGGGATTGGCACCATGCTCTTGGGACCAAAGGTCCTTTGATCAGAGCAAAGGGTTCCCCTCCCTAAGAGTTTAAGGTTCTTCCCTATGACCTCTGTCATTGCTGTGCTACTGCCATAGCATTGCCTGAAGGCTATACCAGAGAGGAGAAACTCCTCTTTCATTCTGAAAGGATGGAGAAGAAATTACAGGTGAGGTGTGGATAAGTTGGACGGTTTGCTGTTAGGAGGTAGTTAGAGTTGTAATCTCTTTTTCTGTAATACAGGAGGCAAAATCATAATCATCTGCCCGTGATGAGTTAGGTGGCCAAGGAGCATGGCAAACACTGTTGCCTGATCCAATGTTGTTCCCAATCTCCTTCTACCCTGATGCTTTTCCTCTAGAAGTGGGAAATGCTTGCTTTACCAGATACGCAACAAGGAAACATAAGCAGAATTTTGCTGATGTTTCTTGGAAAGCTTTCACTTTTCCTAATAAAGAAGACAGCTTATACCTGTGCCATTCTTTCCTTTCTTCCTGACTTGACCACACATGTCATCCCTGGAGATGGGTGCAGCTGTCTTGCATATCTGAGAAAATAAGCATGAGGGAAAGGCCAAAAGAAGGGCAGATTCACCAGCCAGACCAGTCACTGTTCAGTTGCTGATTGAGAGTCAGCGGCAACTCAGCCTCCAGATTTCTTGTTGCAAAGTCTTATTTACTTAAGCCGTAAAAGGTGGATTTTGCACCCATAAGCATTCTTGATACAGGACGGTGACGTACATGTTTCAAAGAGAATGGGAGCGAGGCAAAGAAGGAACATTAGATTATAGATATAATATTGAAGGCCCAGATGAAGTGAAATTCATTTAAAAAATACCAATTTCATTTTGGAGAATTTATTATCTGTGGAAATTAAGCAATCTAATAGTGGTACTAATATGCTACTTTTTATCAAGGTCAGCTCAAGTCATAGTAATTCTGTTTAGATAAACTAGCATCTTCTACATTAGAAGACCTATGTTAAGTGCAAGATAACTCAAAGTACACAGCAACACCCTTTAAATGTTCATCATGTATTTAGATAATATGATTCATATCACTTTCTGGAGGAGAAATTCAGATTATTCACAATGTAGAGAATGCAATCTTGCAAAGTTTATGGCAGCACCAAGTGAAGACAGACAATTCCATCAGAATACTTGATTTAGATTCTGTCATTGTATTCACACAGTACCTAAGAAACTGTCTTTCCAAGACTAAGCAGTAATTCACAATACACATATCTCTGAGGCATCTCCTGCTTTAATTTAATAGATGGCTTATTCCTCACTTTAGTTACAGAGAATGAACCCTAAATAAGGACTCCTACAATTTTAGTAACAGAAAATATACAAAACCCAATATATATTCATATTTCCTAGAACTATAACATATAATCACTATCAGAAAATTCTATAGCTAAAATTTACATTTACTTTTCCTACTAATCTTACATTTATCAATGTACTAAGCAGAGCACAGCAATCCTCCATTTTTTCTGGAGTTACTCTAAACACTAGATATGGTTAGATTTTCTGATAATGAAATGTTTACACTTCATGAGGAACCCAGAGAAAGTTCACAATAAGCTCCTTCTTTTCTCCTTCCAAGGACTTTCACTTCTGTGTTTGTCTCCATGTTGGGTAACTGTGGCACCATGGGAAACACAATAACACATGTATTCTTATAATATATACAGTCTTACCAAGAATCCCTGGAAAAGGGAACATTATGTTGTACATTGTCAGAATTTTAATGACATACGAATCAGTCATTTTATATTTAAACAGGGTATCTGACTGAATTAAATACGGAAAAAACTTTGGTGGACTCTAAATTGACTTTAGCGATTTCCTCTTTAGTACAAGAGCATCAAAACCCAGGATCTTACTTCTTGACAGCTTTGTCAAAAAACTCATCTTATTAAGAATGCATAAGGCCCATAAAAGGCTGTCTTGTAATGTCTGAAACATGTTCACAGCTGAGTTATGCCAGAAAAGGGGCCAGGAAGAACTCTGAAGGATAGTCATCAGCTGTTAAGGGTTTCCCTTTCCATGTAAGCTATGGTACACTTCTGTTACGTGCTGTACTTGCCAACATTTGTGTTTCATCAGTCTTGTTTGGACAGTCTTTTCTTCATCTCCTTTTTTCCTTTTTATTAAGATGGTCATCAACCTTATATAAGCACTCATAGACAGCCCTGTTTATTATTAGAGCATTCCTCATGCTTAGGCCACTCATTGAAGACATGTAATCTTAATGTTTTCACTGAGTTATTTCCAAATTACATTGTAAGGGAGGTTATATTTTTCCTACACAGGAGTAATGTGTAGGCTCGTGTGAGTTTTCATAAGAGATTAAGTTCCTTTACTCACCTGCCTCCTAACAATGACTCTTGACATTTCAGTCTAGGTGTTAAGGTACATATTCTTTTGGGCCTCTTCAATCCTATTCTCATATTTTGAATCTGGTAGCAGAAAACCAAATGGGGAATTTTTTTTAAGTGATTAATCTTCTTTGGTCTGACAACTCTAGCGCTCAAGGTATATAATGGAAGAGAATGTCCATTTTTATACTAACTCACACACTTCTTCTCAACAGGGAAAATGTACTTGTCTAAAAAGGAATATACAGTCATCCCTCAGTATCTGAAGGGGATTGGTTCCAGGAACACCCCCAGCTCCTGCAGATAACCCGTATCCACAGATGGTCAAGTCCCTTATATACAATGGCACAGAACAACGCATATAGGTGATCTTCCACATCCGCAAATCAATCTGCAGCTGGTTAAATCTGCAGATGGAAAACCCAGGTATACAGAGGGCCTACTCTATATTGAAAAATATCCACATATAAGTGGACCCGTGCAGTTCAAACCTGCGTTGTTCAAGGGTCAACTGGACTATTCATTATTTGTGTTCACACTGGAAATAGTAGAACAAGTCTGAGAATGTCTTTTCAAGAGCTACCTAAGGATGGAAATCTGAATTGAGCTTTAGAATCTCAAACATTGACAATGTATTGATAAGCAGAAAAGCAAACAATGCTTACATAAGACAGTCCATATTCTCTCCTGTGGCTTTTATGACATCTGAAAGGAAACTGGTGCCCATCAAAACCACTGATCTATACTAAGAAGGTGTTTGTGCTTTGTGTTTTCTTCCTCTGTCGGAAAAGTTCTGAGTAAATGCTTTGATTCCCTCACAGTACCAATGGGATTTTTTCCTCTAGTGTGACTTTTTCTATGTCTGAAAAGATTTGAGCTCTGACTAAAGGCTTTCCCACACTCATGACATTTGTAAGGTTTTTCCCCAGTGTGGATCCTTCGATGCTGAATCAGAACTGCACTTCGGCTGAAAGCCTTCGCACACACGTCACAGGCATAAGGTTTCTCTCCACTGTGGATTCGCTGATGTAGGATAAGGGCTGAGCTCTGACTAAAGGTTTTGCCACATTCATCACATTTGTGTTGTTTTTTTCGAGAAGGATTTCTATGTCTTCTTTCAAACCTGCTACCTTGTTCACAGGTTCCTCTAGATGTAAAACCCTGGGAAGCATTCATATGAACAATGTTAGAAACATTGTAATGAAGTTCTGTGCCTGAAGAAGTCTTTTGTCTGGAAGCTGATTTCATATTTATAGTTCTGGTGTCTTTATCTGAAATAATACATAGAAAAGCAAATGTCACCGGTTCTCTGTTCAGAAAGAAAGAAAGGAAAATAATCCAAATGAAATATATATGGATAATTTATTAGCTAGTATGTTTGTAAGACAGCATCACAATGTGGAGGATGAAGAGAATAAGGCAGAAAACACTGAGAAGATCATAAGACAAAAGAGAAATGTTTATAGTCTGAGGAGGCAGTCAACTAGAAAGATGAAAAACTCTATGCAAAAGGTAGAATGCTGAGTAGGGTAAAAAGATATCAGAGGCTGAGAAAAGTCTGGAAGAAAAGAAAGGGCCTAAAAGAGAAATTATTATTTCTTATCAAAATCCCCTAGAAGAAATTAACCTGCTTAGCTGATCAGCCATCCCTAAAATATAGAACCAGTGGTGGGGGAGAGGAGGAGATTCTCCCAACTAAGGTTTTCCTTTTCATATCGGGATCTCGTTTTATCCAGGATGATTATCTAGATGGAGGGTCTCTGCTCAAATGTCACTTCATTAAAGAGGCCTTCTCCACCACCCTATTTAATAAGACCGTGTCTCCACTTCATGTATTCCCCTTGTTCTGCTTTGTTCTCATAGCACTTATTATTATTATTAGTAGTAGTAGTAGTAGTAGTAGGATGTACAATAGAAGAACAGATTGCTATGCCAGCCATTTTGGAACGCTTTTGTAAAAAGTGATGCAAAGAGCAACACAGGTCAGTTTAGAATGCGAGGGAGTAGAGAAACATATTCAAAGTATTGCAAGAGAGCAAAGTCATCTTAGCAGCAATAGGGTGATTCTGATACTAGATCCCACTAGTATTGAACAGGAAGTTACACAAAAATGATGATGTAGACCAGTGGTCTTTAGACTGTGACCTTAGGGTCCCTCAGAAGGGCCTCAGGGGATCCTGAAGATAAGAGGTGGGAACAAAGCCAAGTTGGAGCCCTTGTGGGCTTAGACTACTTCAGAGTAACTATGTTTTCATCTGTTTTCTAAATTGAAACTCCACATAAAATTTCATTTGAGAAAAGGGTCATGCTGTTTTAAAAAGGTTTGAAAATCCTGATGGAGATGTTGTCAAAAATTTTTAAAATCTGCAGATTTTATAAGACTGTATGAGAAAGAAACTGAGAATGTTCATTAGCATGACATAATGGTGGAAGTTTTCAGTGAAGAGGGGGCAAGGAGATTTGAGACCTCTTGCAGAAGGCAGCTGAGATGTATGCAGTGGGCTGAGAGGCCACCTTTGCCCCAGACCATGAACTAAATCCTGCCCCTCACCATTTTGTCTGGAGGAGTGAAGCTCTCGTGACGAACACTGCAGCTGCTTCTTCTCAGGCTTGAGCTGGGTACTTGATGACTCCTGAATGATTTCCCAAGGTGCTAGCTTCTCTGTAGGCATGTCCTCATTTTGTCCAAAGACCTGGAAACAGGATATTGGAGGCTGAAAAAGGGAATCAGGTTGGGACTTCAGGATAAAGTAAAAGAGAAGAAGCTATGCAGAAAATATCCTGGGGCACAGAAAAAGGGAAGAAAATAGAAGAGCAACATTCTATTTTCTAGCACAGCTTAGGAGTACATTCACCCCGCTATACATCCAGTTGTGGCGAGTGAGAGTACAATCTGAGAACTCTACCCTCAATGATGCTCCAGAGGTCCTGACTCAGCCTGGTCTTTCATCCCCTCAGACACCTTCTTACCTGTTCAGTAGGTCCATCAAGCTCTTTCTCTAGCTCCTCCAGCATAGTCACAGCTTCCTCTCCGTCCTCTGGCGGGTGTTCTTGTAGCCAGGCCTGCAGCTCTTCTGGCAGGATGGCCAGGAACTGCTCCAGCACCAGCAGCTCCAGGATCTGCTTCTTGGTGTATACCTCTGGCCTCAGCCACTGACAACAAAGCTTCCGGAGCTGGTTCAGAGCCTCCCGGGGCCCAGGTGACTCCTGGTAGCCAAACTGCCTGAAGCGCTGGCGGAAGGTCTCTGGGCTGTAGCAGCTTCTCCAGTGAAGGCTGGAGTCCAGATTACTGGCCTCCTCTTCTTCCATCTTCACTACCAGAATGCTGTCAGGCTCTTCTGAAGTTTGTGGAAGGAGTGTTGATGAATCTCTCAATTTTGCAGACATATGGATTGAGAATAGCTTAGGACTGCTGGACTTTAATTTTCAAGGAGGTAAAGTACTCCTTGTGGATACTCCTTAAATATGATTAAAGAAACAAGTGGAACAAGACAAAGACAAATGCTTCTTAGAACAATAAAACTAAGATAGGAAACAAGGCTAGAAAGTACTGCTCTTAATCTTAACATAAACCAGGCTTTCAAAGAATACTTCCTTCTTTGAGAATCAAAGAGCCAAGATTAATTTATATGTATGAGTAATTCTGAAAATCATGCCCACAAGGCTAAAGAGCACAATGAGAGATCAGCCAGGATTGCATAGGAGCTCCTGGAACATAGAAATAAAGAAGCCAATTAATTTTTTCTAGCCTGCTGCTAAGAGTTCTAGGAAATAGTCTCATGAGAGAAGTACTATTGTGCGGATTTTTTTTCAATGTTTACTAATTTTAAAAACAATATCATTTTGACATTAAAGGAACCATTAAAAAAGTAATCACAAATTCCTCCATCTTACTGTATTTCCATTTTTTCATATTTACTTCTACTTCCTGTTTGTAACATCTATATTATTTACTTAATAATATCTCTATTGTAGACTATTTGGTAATCTCTAATTTTTACTATTATAAATAATACTGGGTGGCACAACTTCATGAATATACTATTTTTTTCCTTTCAGATTATTTTCTTCAAGCATGTCCCAAGGCCTTACCTTATGGAGGTCAAAGGAGAATGGCAAATTCTGTCTTGCTATGTTATCAAGTAAACTACAGAAAAGATTATCAATTCACAATGCTACCAGCAACATAATGTAAGAGAGCAGCAATCTCTCCAAGTATCATTAGCTTGTTAGCAGGAAGGGGGTGAGAAGACTCTTAGTATAACTTTACTGAGTACCATTTTACTTAGTACCATTTTAATTGGTCAGCAGTTACCTGAGTATCTGATGACTAAATAGAAACCCTTATACGTGTCCCTATTTTTCCTTTATGTAACCTGCCATTTTTTTCCCACCTCATCAAGCAGTGTTCTAGGCATCGAAGATACAGTGGAGACCTAAGCAAAGCCTGTGGCTTGATTAGGCTTAGACTCTAGCAAGAGACAAAAATGTTACCAAATACTTTTTATAGTAACGTGATACCCTGCAAACAACAGCTGACAAAGATGATTTAACATGTGACAAGCACTGTTCTGAGTGCCTCAGTAAATATAAACCCATTTAAATCCTCGCAAAAGCACTACAGTTATTTCATTCCCATGTTGTAGATGAGAAACCCACCACCGCAAGCTCAGGTAATGTGACTACGGGCTGGGGTGTGAACCCAGGCCATCCACATTTATTCATGGTTCTGTGTGTTCCAGAGGCCGGAGGCAGAAGACCGTGCTCAGAGAAGCAGCAGACCCAGATGACCTTGGGCAGGAACAGGGTCTGCGGTCAAGACAGGGGCAGCAGGAAGGGTTGAGGTCAAGAGTCTGGAGCTGTCTGTGGGCGTTGCTTTGAGGGCCCCTAAACTAAAGCAGCCTCTGGAAGTCGCAGGAGATAGTGGCCGTCGAACCCATGCTAACTCCACAGTCGCGCTCGGCTTTACACAAGAGACGATGAAACCCACACCCGCCCAAATACGCACGAGGGCCTGTAACGAACCGGGTTTCTGGAGAGGAGGCTTCGCCCAGCGCCCCAAGTCCAGGGTCTTTGCGGAGAAGACTGACTCTCACTTCGAAACCCTCCCTCTGGTGTACCGCCTCCGGGAGGACGGGCGGCCTACTCCACAGTCGCGCTCGGCTTTACACAAGAGACGATGAAACCCACACCCGCCCAAATACGCACGAGGGCCTGTAACGAACCGGGTTTCTGGAGGGGAGGCTTCGCCCAGCGCCCCAAGTCCAGGGTCTTTGCGGAGAAGACTGACTCTCACTTCGAAACCCTCCCTCTGGTGTACCGCCTCCGGGAGGACGGGCGGCCTAAGGCCCCGGGATGGTGCCTCCCCACGCCTGGCCCCACTACCGCGGCGCTCCCTCCCCGGCGGGGACCGCGAGGCGCGCGGGCGTCACCGAGGGTGCGCGCCGAGCGGGTAGGCGCGCGCGGGCTGGGGGATGGGAGGGGGTTCAGCTGAGGGGCCATGCGCCGCGGGAGAGGACAAGGGAGGCGCTGTGCGGACGTGCGGTGAGAGGCAGAGAGATGCAGGGACCAGGTAGGGACCGCAGCGAAGAGCCGCGGGACGTAGGAGGGAGGTGTAGGAGGTATGGAGAGGGGTACAAAGAAGGGATGCGCGGAAGAAGGGAAGAGCTGCCACCAAGCGGCGCCGCGCCCCCCGCGTGACGGACGCTTCTCTCCGCGGCGTAGCGGCGGAGAAGAGGCCTCGGCTCTCACCTCCGGGCGGGGAAGGACAACCCGCGGTATCGGGGAGAAGCAGGATAAGCGCCAGGCTGGAAGCTGCTTCCGGTCCTCGAGGTGGGTTGTGGGCGGGGCCAGGATAACGGAGCGGTTGCCGTGGAGACGAGCCACCGCCGCCTCGGGCTTTCTGAGAGGCCACGCCTGAGCTAGGGGAAGGGGAAGGATAACGTATGGGTGGGCATCCAGCTGCTCCGCATACCGGTTCAAATAAACCAGCGTTGCTATTTCTCTGAGTACTTTTACTTACATTAATCTTATTCTTTCAGTCACCCAACAAGGTTATTCCGATTTTACAAGGAATAAAACTTAGGGTTACGTGACTTGCCCATGGTCATAAAGAGGGGAGACTCCTGTGCTTGCAACCGGTCAGCACAACTTTCCTGTAGTACCCCCCCGCTACTGAGGTTGGTACGCTCCAAGTATTTAAGTTTTAAGGAGGTTTGAGACCCCCCCATCCATGTTTTCACAGGGTAACCTAATGGCCCTTTAAAAAGGTGAGAACCTGCTCACGCATATTTTGGGATATATATGTAGAATCTTAAGTAAATTTAAAAATAAATTTGAGCTAAATGAGCTACAAAGCCACAGTCCCGCATATTGGCTTCCTCCTCCACCCACTTTACCCAGGGACTTTTGGAAATATACTTGTAAAGGAAGCGAGGAATTAGACTGGGAGAGGAAAAATATGCTTTCAAAACCATTTGCTAATTAATATATAACAATAACAAGAAAAAACTCTTGGTATGACCAAAAAAAAAAAAAAGTATGTAGTACTGGAGTCTGAAGTGATGAGAGAAAAGCCTGGTTTAGTCCGTCTAAATCAGAACTAGGGAGTTAAGGGAGAAATTTGCATCTTAATTAACCTACAATTACATTAAATTTGAAGAGATTCTTGCTTCAACGGGGCTTTCATTAAATAACATTTGTTGCTGAGGCAATTGCTAACACAAATTGCAGAAGGAAATGTGTTTATGTTGATGGTGGATGGGTTAAATGACTCCAGGCAATGAAGAATCTGAAACAATTCTTCAAGGGTAATGTTGGCAACGGTGTTAAATCTTAGAAGGTGGTTTAAGGAGAAAATGAACACCAGTCAAAAACGGCAAGGAGAAAAAGGAATTGTGAAAAGCTGTAGGATTTGGCAAGAATTCAGGGGTGAATTCATGGGTTCTGATTCCACCAAATAGCCAGATCCAAGAAGCTAAACTTAAAAAAAAAAAAAAAAGGAGCAAATTAAAAGATTGTTTATAAAGTTTCACAGTGAGATAAAGGACAGGTTTTTGTTTGTTTGCTTTTTATTAATGTTTGAGGATAGATTAGAAAGAAAGTCCCAATAGAGATAGCATCTGCTATATACCAGATGCATGTTAAACACTGGGAATTCAAATGTAAGATACAGATTCTTGCTCTTTAGGAACTGATAGATTAGTTAAGGAGAAAGGTGTATAAATTGACTATTCCAATCAAAGTGGCATGTTCCGATGGAGCTGTCTACAGATGCTATGAAAGCCCAAAGAAAGAAAAGTATTAGGGTTAGGGATGGATAGACTGGGATTGGAGGTGATGGGGAAAACTGTGTTGATACATGTCTGGCTGAAGGACCAGTGTGGAATGTTTAGATTTACTGGATTGAGAGACAGCAGGCCATGAATGGCTGAGGATGAGGATGAAGAAGTAAGCAAGAATCTAGTTTTAAAAGATTTGACAGGCCGGTTGTAAAAGGCTATGTATGGTCTAAAATTTTAAGCAGAATCTTGAGTAAGTGACACAAGCATATCTGCAATTCATATGTAATTCTCTTCTGGCAACAAGAAAGATGGATTTGATGGGAGACAAAATTCAAGGCAGGGTGACCAATTCTGAAGCTATTGCAAGAACCCGAGCTGCAACTGATGGAGATCTGAACCAGTGCAGAGGGAGCGAGGATAGAGGCAGATTCAGGAAAAACATGGGAGGCTGGTGCTTGTTTGGATAGTAGACTTATAATGGATTGGGTAGATAGTGTGTCGTTCAAAGAAGTATAAAAAAACATTGAGTAGGTTTGATAGCGGCTTATGTGGACATTTGAGAGGATTTTTTATAGACCGAGTCTGATAGACTGAGGCTGAGTGAGATGCTACAATCAATACCCTGTACATAATTAGACATTTTGTGAGATTATGTGAAAACAAATCAGACGTGCTCTATTTCTGAATGCTTTTCCTATGTAAGAATATTAAATTCCCTATGAATTTCATAAACCACTTATCAACACAGTGAAAGAGGAGGAGGAGGGTAATCATTCTATAATGACATTACAAAGTCATTCACTCCTTGACCTTCTATTCTTCATCACTATATTTCTTCACCTGGTTATAAGCTTTTATGTCGGAAACCAGCCGACCAAGTCAAACCAGGTCCCTGAATGGGGGAGCAGGGACTGAGAATAAAGAGAAGACAGACAGGGTGCAGGAGGGAGAACAGATCGCACAACTGTCTCTCCGAGTTTATTTCTTAGGCTCCTTTTTATACATATTCTGTTCCTTTGTGTATCCCAAGATAACATAGTTAAAGTAACATCTTGAAGATCAAGGTACAATGGAAGCTCCCTTCGTACTTCCTGTTTCTAATCTTAATCTTCTTCCTCCTGGAATTCTTCAGAACCAGCTTTTTCCCTTTTATATGCAAGCAGGCCTCCCGAGATAATCCATGCACTCCTTTGAATTTTGGGAGCTTCACTTAACCCTTTAGCTCCCTACACTTTTAGGGATGTAGATGAGTCTTAGGGAGCAGTACTTGGTGGTGGGATGAGGGGAGGGACTGCCCTTTTCCATTCTAGGTCCGTTTGACCTTTAAATTATGTGTATTATAACATCACTTATAGAGAATAAACTAATTGTACCTTCCATTCCCCTTTAAGCCTTCTATATTGAGGCTTCTACCCTCACCCCTTCACTTGTCTTCCCTATTACTAAATTCAATTCACTTATTTTAGTCCTCATCTTCTCAGCATTTCTCATTAATTATAGTACTTCCACTTTGAACTCTCTGTCCTTCATTTTTATTACTATACTAGCTTCAGGTTCTTCTTCTGAACATTCCTTATGGTGGTTCCTCCGGTCTGCAACCCTGCGCATTATTAGTGTTCTCCGTTTTTCTGTCTTTGGTGCTTTTACTTTTCATGCTATAGACTATCTGTGGGCTAGCTCCTCTATCTTCATCTATAAGGCTTCAACTACCATCTCTAACTAATGAGTTCCAATTTATATCTTGAGTTTGATCTTTTTTGAGCCTCCTCACCATAGGGCCAACTGCTTACCAAACATCTGTTTGTTTCACAGGTATGTTAAACTAATTATGAGTTATTCCTCACTGTCCCTACACTCATCTCTTTTTCCTCCTTATTTCCTGGACTAGTACTACCATCCACCCATTCCCCCAGGAGAAATCTGAGATCTTCCAAGACATTTATGTTTGACTCATGTGCATGTCAGGCAAGGTCTATATCCTATTCACTCTGTGCTCTTTGTGTCCTTTGTTCCCTTTATGGTGACTGGCACATTGATCTCTACTTAATTCATGCTTTATAAATACATGGATTAAAAAAGAGGAGGATCAAGTTGATTAAAGGGTCAGCTTCTCACTAGCAATGGGATTATGGGAGTGGAACGGAAACAAAAGGATATGAAGTTTGATTGTTGTCGGTAATGGGAGCTCAGGGTAAGGACTGAAGGAAATGAAGTATGAAGCCATAATGTTAAATATGAAATTTAGCAAAAGACTTAAGCCAGATTTAAAGGCATAGTTACCAGAGAAGGCAGATAATCCACAAGGAGGAATACCCACAGAGCTGCAGCAGGTAGATAGATTGAAATAAAAGCATAATGACTTGATGACATTTTAAGGTGAAGAGATTGAAATAATAAATTTCATGTAGTACTGAAAATCCATGTCTGGGAAGACAGTAAGGCCTATTGAGAGGGAGATCTATGGTAGAGTTTCAGAGTCTGCTATATAACCTTGGGTGTTTAGCACACTGTCGACATGGAGTCTTGCTACTCATCTCTCTCCTAGGAGATGGGGTTGCATGTACTGATTTATGAGTTGGTTCTCCTCCACAAACTGGAACTAAACATTTGGTAATACCTGATTTGTTGCTGTATTAGTTTCTAGGGCTGCCGTAACAGATTACCACAAACCTGGTGGCTTAAAATAACAGAAATTTATCTCGTGGTTCTGGGGGCTGGAAATCCGAAATTAAGG